TGAAATAACAAAAACTGTGTCTTTGAAGAGTGTGGTGTACCTTCAGAAGTCATTCCATATCCTGGGCTAGATATAGCTGGGTGTGCTAAAGGTCCTGGATCTCTTCTTAAGCCTTCTAGGGCTGTGAATGTGAAGTTGCTGTGAGCTGTACAAAGAACATAAATGTGCCTGCTGAGGGTGGTTAAAGGGCCTGGGGGGTAGGTTCCTGAGGATGAGTGCAGAAATCCTAGGTGGAGGAAGACGGTGGCTGTAGGTGCTCCCCACTCCCCATTCCTGCCCTGCCATTCTACCTCACCCCTGCATCTCGTTAACCTGGCTGTTGCCTTTTACTTCATGCCCATGAAACAGAAGCAGCTTGACTTAGCTCAGGCTCTAGAGCATTCTGCACCTGCCCATGACCTGTTGATGGTTTCAGACAGATGTCCACAGCAAAGACAGACTACTAACTAGTTTATGTTGATTTATATTAAGGTGCCATGTTTGCCTTCAAGGAGAGGCTTATTGACGCCTTAAGACTTTTCATTGGAAATGTACTTTGGGGGGTGGCTGCAGTTGTAGCTCAGTGGTAGTAAAGCGCTTGCCTAGCATATATGAGGCACTGGGTTCCATCCTCAGCACCACATTAAAAAAAAATTATAAAGATATTGTGTCCATCTACAACTGAAAAAAAAAAATTGTACTTTAGCTGAGTGACATTGCCAAGTATTTTAAAGGAAAGAGTTAGCATTGGGTACATGGATGTTTATAGTTGAGAAAGACCTGGGCTGAAACCTCTCTCTTGAAATCGGCTCTGGGAAGTGTATGGGATGTACTCTTTGTCTAGTCACTGACTGTCATGGTATATAGATCACCCTCAGGGTGCAGTGCTCATCAAAGACTCATGGGAGAAGCTCCTTTACCTGCTGCTGTGTCTACTGGGTGGGTAATGGCTCTGTCTGTGGAAGGTGACTCCCCCCTTCAGGAAACAGCTGCTCAGGGTGGGCTCTGATGGCTACAGGTCACATGGACTTAGTGTTTCTCCTGTTCTAGTTGTCTGGCTGGTTGTGTTCCTGTTCTGTAGCAGCTTGCTATACCATGGAAGGAACACTGTGTTCTTCATAGTAGCCGGACCTGGATTCCTTGGTGTTCTTTTCATCCCTATTTCATGCTGAGAGTTTGCTTTGTTAGTTTAAAAAAAAAATCAGAAATTATTGGGTATAATCTTACAGCAAGTGAAATGTCAAAGGCTGGCATTTGGAAACAGCATTGTCAAGCAGAGTTCCAGCCAAAACCTGTGTTGTGACCAGCTGAGCCAGGAGTCCAAGAGAAATTGGACCAGACAAATACTGGCGCCTGGGTGGCGTTTCCTCAGACACGGCCCTGGGTGCCTTTCCACTTGGTGGGGAGGGGATGGCATGCCAACTCTCATAAGGAGGACAGCTTCTACCCAGACCTTCAGGTTCATGGCATCTTTGCTGGTTTGGTGTACCTCATCCTCTGCTGCTGAGGAAGCAGCCATGTCACCTCAGCCTCTATGTGGGCTCAGTTCCTGAGGCTTTCCTCCCACTGCTTTTGCACCCTCTTGAGCCACTCCTACCCTCCCTCCTATGGGCTTGTAGGCTCTTGGGTTCCTTAAGTGTGCTTGGTGTTATGCTTGTTCTTCCCCAGTTCAGTGTCTCTCACCTTGAAGTTACAGCCCTTGATGGGAATCTCACTACCATTTTATGCTGTTTGTATCACAAAACTAAGTTTTGTCATTTCCAAAACATTGTATTAGGATTTTAAAGGCTCTTCTCAGACTGAAGACACACCTTATCCTCTCTGAGGATCCTGGTGATCCTGTCCCTGGGCGTAGCTGAGCTCTGGAGGGGCTGCTGAAGATCTCCTAGGGTCTGGCAGAGTCTGTGAGTCTGGAGCAGGGTTCTCAGTAGGAACTGTCAACCCCTGGGTCTGATAATTTTTTGTTGTGGGGGCGTTATCTTCATTCTAGGATGTTTAGCAGAGTCCCTGCCTCTGCCCACTAGATGCTAATAATACTTATTTCCTCCCCCAAGTATGACAACCCAAAATGTCTCTAGTTTTTGCCAAGTCTCACCAGGGGGTGCAAAACTGCTCTGATTGAAAGATTCTGCAATAGAATATGTGCCAGGACACCTAAGTTCTTTGGACTGAGCCCTCCTGGTGATGTGAGTAGCACTGCATCTCTCCTGGCTTTAGCATGGCCCTGTGCCCAGCAGTTCCCAACATGAGCCACAGGAGAGGCAGCCCTAGGACTATGCCCATGACTAGCCAGGCAGTTGCCTGCTCTCACACCCACTGCTTATATACTGAGCACATGCAGTCCTCTGGAAGGAAGGAGTTTTGGCGGCACATCTAGCCTAATCAAGTGCTTTTGGGCCCAGGGTTTGAAGTCCTCTGCATCAAAACTGGTCAACATGGAGTGGCACCCCCATAGTGAAAACAGCTGCTCTGAAATGCCACCATGGTTGTCTTTTTGACTCAGTTGAGTCTTACTCAGCTATCCCCCAACACCATTAATAGCAAAACACACTTCCTGTCCTTTGAATCTCAGCTCTGATCTCTAGTCTTTTCACACATGTGAGTGTTTTCCATGATGCTTACTCTCCTTTGTGGACAGATGTTAGCAATGTGGCAGTGATGCTCTACTTCCTCTCATGTCAGTCCTACCTGATGTCTTGGAGTCTGTTGGGACAAGTCATGCTGTCAATTCATCCCTGTGGTTTCTAATAACACCCTCCACTGGTCTGGCTGGCAACTGTCATGGAGTATGGGAGTTGTGGGGTCATACCACCTAGTTTTGGTGCCTGGACGAGGGGCTTGCTGAGCCCAGGTTAGGTACACACTTCCCCCTTTGAGGGCAGGGCTTTCTTGTGAGCATCCATTCTAACGGCCTTTATATATTATTTATTTTTTATATTGAGACAGGATCTCACTAAGTTGCCAGAACTGGCATTTACCTTGTGATCTTCCTGCCTTTGTCTCCTGAGTGGCTGGAATTATAGATGAACTTTTTTTTTTTTTAGTACCAGGGATTGAACCCATGGGCTCTTAACCACTGAGACAAACCCCTAGGCGTTTCTATTTTTTATTATAAAACAGGATCTTGCTGAGTTGCTGAGGCTGACTTTGAACTTGCAATCCTGCCTCAGCCTTCCAAGCTGGTGATATTACAGGCATGAGCCACTGTGCCCAGCACACTTTTTGGGTTTTAAGGAAACAATGCATCCTCTTGGACATCTAAATTGAGGCTACTTTTATTAGTTGTATTAATAAATTTGTTTGTCTTTTTTGTGCATTTCATGGTATCAAGATGTGTACCTCTTCTCTTTTTTTTGGTTGGGGGGTTAGGTATCAGGGATTGAACTCAAGGGCACTCAACACTGAGCCACATCCCCAGCCCTATTTTGTATTTTATTTAGAGACAGGGTCTCACTGAGTTGCTTAGCACCTCACTGTTGCTGAAGCTGACTTTGAACTCCTGATCCTCCTGTCTCAACCTCCTGAGTGGCTAGGATTATAGGTGTGGGTTGACTGAGCACCTTTTCTTGCTTTTGGTGGCTGAACTGTTGTCTTGTGGCTCACTCTTGATTATCGTGGGTCCACCTGTGTTTCTTGTCTTTTTTGTTTTTTGTTTGTTTTTGTTTTTTTTACATTAATTATACGTTAGTAATTGGGTTCATCCTGACAAACTCATACAGGAATGGAATTTGATTGCATTTCAATCTCCCCAATCCCTCTCCCCCACTTTTCTTTCCTGTGTTTGGAATGTTTACTACCTTTCTGGAGCCCTGGCTGCTGCTTCTCTGTACATCATTCCCTGTTTATATGGAAAGAGAAAAATCCTTGTCTGTCCTTATAAACAGATGTGCAAACAGTTTAAGAAATAGCTGTGTGTCCACACTCCCTTTTTTATTTGAATTATGAAAATTGAGCATTCAGTTGTCTTCAGCCTTTTTCCAGGGGGCTGGTGCTGGGTACTGACCTAGGGCCTTGCACATGACTGCTCTACCACTGAGCTATATCCTTTTTAATTTTTATTTTAAGATAGGGTCTCAATAAGTTGCTGAGCCTGGCCTTGAACTTGTAATCCTCCTGCCTCAGCCTCCCCAGTTGCTTGGATTATAGGTATGGTCCACCACCCATGGTCAGTTTCAGGTTATTCTGATCAGTTTGTTTTTAGTGTTTGAAAGGGCCATGTGTTGGCCAGTGACAACCTGGCAGGCTGCTGTCCTGTCCTTCTATCCTATGGGGACTGTTGGGGAGACTTTGATTTTCAGATGCAGCATGGATTTTAGAAGCACATTGAAACAAGTAAGGTGCCCTCCTAGGTTCTTTAGTGGGCAGGAGTATGAAGACCTGCACCTGGGTGCTCCAAGTTCATTTTGTATTTTATATCACAGTCTAGTAATAAGTGGGCCTGTGTCATCATTGTGAGAACATGAGGGGCATAGCAGGGGAAGGGGCTTTTCTAAGCATGAGTGCAATTTTCACATACTGCAGATTTAACTTTAAACACTTACCTGATTTTCTCAGTGCCCACTTCCATTTTTAACTGTGTTCCCCCTGAGGCTTTCATGTTTCAGTGTCTCATTGACAACTGTTTTGTTGTTGTTTTGTTGACATTTGCCTAATTGCTTTCCAAAATAATTTTAACAGCCCCACTGGTTTTTGGTGCCAGCTGCAGTATGAATATGAATGTGCTTGCTCTATCATAGTCTTGCCAGCATTGGGTGTCTCTGTGTATTGTAAACACAGTTAATCACTGCTCTTATCTGCTCATCCCCCATAATTAAAATTCACAGTGCTGTCTTTGGTTGCCTTAGTTTGGCCTTAGAGATTTGGTTGGAGACTCATGCAGCACTGAGAGAGAATTGAGGAGTGGTGGCTGGTGTGAGCAGGGGAGAGGGTAGCAGCCCCAGAGGACTGAAGAAGGTCAGACTTCAGTCCATGTGTGCTGGACAGTGAACCATTTGTCTTACCTTTCTCCTCTGTGTCCACAGTATGACGCTGTTCCCATTCAGTCCAGTGTGGTATTATGTGCCTGCCCGTCTCCATCAATGGTGAGGACCCAGACTGAGTCCGGCTCCGCTCCTGGCATTCCTAGCAGTAGCAGCAGGCAGGGCCCCACCATGGACAGCACTACAGCTGAGTCCCGGCCAAGCACTAACCCCCTGCAGCACACTGCCCAGCCACCACAGCCACGCAAGAAACGGCCTGAAGACTTCAAGTTTGGGAAAATTCTTGGCGAGGGCTCTTTTTCAACAGTGAGTATGTTCTGCTGTTGCTTGTTAAATTACCATATTTCTCTTGGGAAGGCCAACTGTTGTGAAACTAAGAGCTAGGCCACCTGAATGCAGGTAGCATTCTTCCTGGGAAGTGCTCCCAGGCTTCTTCCTAGTGTCTGTCTCCCGCTAAAAAGGCCACTGGAGTCTTCTAGACTGGCTTCCACAGCAGACCACCAGGAGTGTGTCTAGAATGTCTAAACCTGATTTTGTAGATGAAAACTTTATAAAGCATCTCTTGGTGGGCGTGATGGCATACTTATGTAGTTCCAGCACCTAGGAGATGTGAGACAGGAGGATTGCTGGAGCCTCAGAGTTTGAGACCAGCCTAGGCAACATAGTGAGACCCATTTCAAAACATCTCTTGCTGGGATTGTAGCTCAGTGGTAGAGCCCTTGCCTAGCACATGTGAGGCACTATGCTGGATCCTCATCACCTCAAACAAACAAACAAATAAATAGATAAATAAAACAAAGGTATTGTGTCCATCTACAACTAATGATTTGCGGTTGTGTTTTTAAATACAAGTTAATTTCATTCTAATCTGGCCTTAGCAGGTTACATTCTTTATTCTCCTGTCCCAAGGAAGTTTTTGTGTTCCTGAGATTAAAAGTTAGTATCTTTTCAGACATTTTTTTGTTACAACTAATGCTTTTTTAAAAAATTTTTTGTAGTTGTAGATGGACAGAATGCCTTTATTTATTAATTTTTATGTGGTGCTGAGGATTGAACCCAGTGCCTCATGCATGCTAGGCAAGCACTTTGCCACTGAGCTACAGCCCCAGCCCAACAATTAATCCTTTAAAAAAAAAATCTCTTGATTTTTGTTTGTTTTAATATATAAATTAGATTTTTGGTGGGCTGGGGATGTGGCTCAAGGAGTAGTGCGCTCACCTGTCATGCACGCAGCGTTGGGTTCAATCCTCAGCACCACATATAAAATAAAGATGTGGTGTCCGCCGAAAACTAAACAATAAATATAAAAAAAAATTAAAATAAAATAAATTAGATTTTTGTTCTTTCTTTCTTTTTTTTTAATAAACAGTAACATTGTTATAGAACCACAGTAACATTGTCACAGATTTACCTGACTTGGGTTTTTCTCTTTACTTTAAGAGAAAGCAAAGAAACAAAGGCTGATGGTAGCAGCCAGGTTGCTGAGGTGGGATCCAGGAGGCATTTGGGGGGGGGGGGGTGCTGTGCAGGGTTGTGACAGCTCAGAAGTCCTGGCTGTGGGTATACAATCTCAGTTCAAAAGTGCCTCCACAAATGCGACTTCTACACTGGCCTTCAGTTTCAGATGGGCGCTTCAGGATGGCCCTGGAAGCACCTCACCCTGAGAGAGTTCTGAATAACCAGTCTTTCTTGCCAGCCTTGTGAAGAAACCATATGTGGAATTGTGGAATTTGTTGTTTTTTCCTTCTCTGTTTTACATTTATGAATGATTCTAAAATACAAAGAACATGGAATATAGCTCACTGCATTCTTAATATCTTGTCATTTTGTTTTACTTAATGTTAACTTTTGCTGCCCTTCTACTTTTTTTTTTTTTTTTGGTATTGGGGATTGAACCCAGTGAGCTTTACCATTGAGCTATATTCCTAGCCCTTTAAAAAAATTAACTATTTGTATATTTTTACGATACTGGATATTTAACCTGGGGGTGCTTTACCACTGAGCTCTATCCCCAGCCCTTTTTATTTTTTTTCCTTGAGACTGTGTCTCACTAAGTTGCTCAGGCTAGACTTGAACTTGTGATCCTCCTGACTACATCTCCTGAGTCACTGGGATGGCAGATGTGCGTCACTGTGCCTTGTTTTCCCCTTACACTTGTAACTTAGATTTCTAATAGCAACTTTTATGAATAATATTGTTTATAAAAGGATTGTGCCTTCGTGAAAAAGCCCTCAACTATGAAGATAGTTCCAGTTGTTCTGTACTTAACTACCGTTTAAGAGAGAGGAAACTGCCTAGATAACCCTGGGCAGTAGTACAACCCCAATTTTTTGTTCTCACTACTTAGAGTATCCAAAATTCTCCTCTCAGTTTGATATTTTTACATTTATCTCAACTGGGAGGGAGGATTTACTTGTGGCATTGCTTGTGTCCCTGGATTAGGGATTGTGGAGTAGGTGTCACCCTTTCTGGGTGATGCAATCACCATTCCCCTTACCCTGTGCAGTTTTGGACCTAGCCACAAGGTGCCTGGGAAAGTGCTGTGAGCCAGGGGCTCCTTCTCCCACTGTTTAGAATCTGTAGCCCTGAGTCTCAAATTGGTGTTACCCTCCCTTCTTTCTCACAATTCCTGAAATAGAGACCATTTAAATTTAGATTTCCAGGGGAGAGGCACAATTACAAGGTTGTACCAGGATCTTGAGTTGGCAGAGCCTGGTGTTAGTGCAAGAGAGGGAAGAGGTCCTGAGGATACTACAACATCTGGGGCAGCCTGCCATCACCCTGGGTAATGTGAAGGGATATGTTGCACCTGAATCTCTGGAAAAGGACCCCCTCCTTTCCTGTGGAAACCTGTTAATAAATTGCTAACTTTAGACAACCAGAAAGATTACATAAATATGGTCTTAGAGAGGATTCTGCTAAATAGCAGTACTCTCTAATAGTTCTTTCCCTTTCCTATTTATGAATCTAGCACATGCTTTTGTGAAGGAATGTGACATTGTATAAATGCATAACCCAGAGAAGAATGTTCTGCCTTGGCCGCTTCCTTCAGCTTCAGTGACTGAAAACCATCCATACACAGCACATTCCTTAGGAAAGATTTTTGAGATCTTTCCACCTGAGTGCATATAACCCGATCTTGTTCACAATAATGGCCAGGCGTCTCAAAGTGCTTTTCCAGGACCACGCCTGAGGAGTTCTGTCAGGCATCCTGTCATGGGATTTGACTCACAATGAGGGATTGAGTGGACCTCATCCTCCCATCAGGCCCAGGAATTTTATAGGGACTAGTTTCATCTGCTCTCTGTTCCTCAGGCTGTTGCTCTTCAGAGGTCTTAGGCACATTTGCACCCATAGGCTGTGGTGGGATCTACTGTGGCAAAGCTGTCTTGGCAAGCTCTGGCCAAACCTTGGGCCCATCAGCTACTTCCACTTTGGTGCCTCAAGTGTGGCCAGGGTTTATTCAGTCTTTCCACATCCACACTTGGGGATGCCACACTGGGCACTTTGCCCCTGAAGTGGAGTTTGAACCACAGGGTCAGTTGTGCTTCTGAGGTGGCAGTGTGAGGGTGTCCTGAGAAGGTAGCTTACTCCTGTGCTGGTTTACTTCCCTGTGCCCTTTATAGCTGTGATCATATTTGCATCATCTGATGAAATGTGTGGTAGAAATTATTAGCAATTATTTTAAAATCTAAGTTTAGGGCATCTTTTTGCATTATACATATACCGGAAGGATATGTTCTTTTTTTAATTTTTTTTTTTTAGTTTTAGATGGACACATAATATTTTATGTGGTGCTGAGGGTTGAACCCAATGCCTCACACATGCTAGGAAAGCACTTTGCTACTGAACTATAGCACCAGCCATGGAAGGGCGTCATCTTTTTTTTTTTTTTTTTTTAAGGGCGTGTTCTTAAAGTTATTTTTTGAAGAAATTCCAAGGACCCACTTGTGGTATTTGGATATGTTAGTCTATGAGGTTGTCCCCCCCAACTGCTGTCAGTATTGGGTATTGAACCCAGGGTCTGGGTCTGGTGCTTGCTAGACAAGGGCTCTACCACTGAAATTTTTAAAAAATTTATTTTGTGATGGGGTTTCACTAAGTTAACTTGCTTGTGATTCTCTTGCCTCAGCCTCCTTAGTAGCTAGAGATTACAGGTGTGCACCGGTGTGCCCAGCTACAAGGTTCTTTTTTTTTGATACCTGGGATTGAACCCAGGGGCACTTAAGCAACAAGCCACATCCCCAGTCCTTTCTTGTATTTTATTTAGAGACAGGGTCTCACTAAGTGTCTTAGGGCCTCACTGAGTTGCTGAGGCTGGTTTTGGATTTGTGATCCTCCTGCCTCGGCCTTTTGAGCCACTGGGATATAGGCTTGTGCCACTATACTTTCCTATAAAGTTCTTGAATTTATACTTTCATGGCACTATGAGGACCAGTAGCAGATGAGCCTTCTGAAAACAGTGGAGAGATTTATATGTTTTTTCTTAACTGTTAAAACACATTTACCTTAGCAGTGGCTTTGTACTTTTGTTTGTTAGTACAGAATCCAAAGGATTTATGTAATTTCAAACCTCGAGTGGGATGAGGAAGTCCTTGTCTCTTCAGACTGTCTCCTGGTTATTACAGTGTGTGTTCTTTTCCTTCTCTTTTCCCCTTTTTTTTCCCCAAACCAGGTTGTCTTGGCCCGAGAACTGGCTACCTCCAGAGAATATGCTAGTAAGTACTAATTCCAGTGAGCTATGTATCTGGGACTTGGGGACAGTGCAGCATCCATGCACATGGCAGTCTGGGTGGCAGGGCCCGAGGTTTTTCTGCTGATTTCAGGATCTAGAACATTGTTGGTCTTAGAGACCATGAAGCTGGTGTGGGTAATTTTGGGAAAACTATAATTTGTACCAGTTATCTTTATGAATTGTGTATTTACTATTTTCACCTTTTCTAATTGTAGTAACTTACTTCTCTCTTACCTTAAGTTAAAATTCTGGAGAAGCGTCATATTATAAAAGAGAACAAGGTCCCATATGTAACCAGAGAGCGAGATGTGATGTCACGCCTGGATCACCCCTTCTTCGTTAAGCTTTACTTCACATTTCAGGATGATGAAAAGCTGTGTATCCTTTTTGTGGTTAGCACTATCTGAAATCATACCAGTTATCCCTCTCATTGTGGAATCACAGCCCCTTTTTTCTCATGAGTAACCCCTTCCCCCAAAAGGAAAGGGTACAGTGTGGCTCCCCACTCCTGTTGCTATGGGACCTCTTGGGTGGCCAATATTCCTGGAGGCAGTAGGTAGTGCCAAACACGGCTGAGGCTCCCTGCTGGGTTGTCTGCTGATGAAGCCATCAAAGAGTTTTGAGGGTTTTTTTGGTAAACATTCTACCTAATAGATTGTTGGTTATTTTAATCCTGGCTGCTGGGTTGCTAGATATCAATGCAAAGGTACTCCCTTCTAACAAGCATCTGTGCAGTATCTGTTAGATATCAAATCCCGTGCTCAAATAAAGCAGAGGACAAGAGAGGAGGAGTGATCTTGAATATCCTTGGGCTCCTGGAGTGTCTGTTGGTGTCTGCCTGCCTCCTTGACTCCTGGGCTATGGAATTTGTTTGGAAAGGACATCTTTTCTGGGTATTTGAGAAGTGCAGGGAGTGACCCACAGGATCTTGAATCATCTTCCTCATGTCCTGAGTATAGTTCTCCCTTGGGCTTTCAGTCCCTCAGCTTTCTTTAGTGCCTTTGCTCTCTAGGATAGTCCTACTTCTCCAGTAGGTCTTCATTTTGTCCATTTTCTCTTGTCCTTAATTCCCTGAACTTTGGGAGCCCTTTCTTTACTCTTTTCAAACTTTCGTTTAGGAATCAGGGAGGCAGGTCTATGGATCTTGGGGGCAGGCTACACTTGTGAGCCAGGCAGGTGGGTTTTCCTTGCTCCCAAAAGGTGCTCTTCTCTTTTTAGTGGGCCCCACCCCTCTCCTTGGCACCCTCAAAGCTGGTCCAAGCCTCTGAGGGCTTGGCCTCCCTATTTTACCTGGGTGAGGTACCTGGTTTCTCTCTATTCCATCTCTTTCTGTACCATGAACACCAATTCTTCTGTTAAAACTTTGCTGTATTCTGTTCCTACTTTATTTTTTGGTGTAGTGCTAGAGATCCTATCCAGAGCCTCGTGCATATTAAGACATGCTCTAGGGCTGGCGTTGTAGCTTAGTGGTAGTGCGCTCACCTAGCAAACATGAGGCCCTGGGTTTGATCCCCTCAGCACTACATAAAAACAAATAAAGGTATTGTGTCCAACTACAACTAAAAAATAAATATATAAAAAAAGACATGCTCTACATTAAGCCACACTCCTAAACCCCTGCTCCACTTTTTTTTAATATTTATTTTTTAGTTTTTTAGGTGGATACAATATCTTTATTTTATTTTTATGCAGTGCTAAGGATCAAACCCAGTGCCTCCTGTGTGCTAGGTGAGTACTCTACCATTTGAGCCACAACTCCAGCCCTCCTGCTCCATTTTTTAAAAAAAATTATTTTTTGTCATACTGGGAACTGAATAGAGGGGAGCTCAGAGCCAGCCCCTTTAAAATTTTGTTTTGAGGCAGGGTCTCACTAAGTTGTCTGGGTTGGACTTGTGATCTTCCTTCCTTAGCCTCCCTAAGGAGGCTTCCTGGGATTATAGGTGTGTGCCACCATGCTTTGGCCCTGTTCCCACTTTTAATACCATCTTTGGCTCCTTCTACTGCTGCCTGAATTTGCTTGTTCTTTTAGAAGTGTTTGTTGTGCTTAGGGAGATGGGGATGTGCTGGTAAACAAGGAAAAGGCTCTGTCCTGGTGGTCTCCCTTTCAGAGAAGGAGTTGGAGAGATGCAGAGTATCACACTGTCACAGATGTCCAGGTAGCAGGATGAGCTACAGAAAGTAGAAAGGCCGCAATGTGCAGGTATCTGGAAATGTGGGCCTCTCTAAGTTCAGTGGACTTGCAAGGGCAGGAGAGAATGTGAATCTGAGGAATAGGCAGTCTGTGGGTGGAAGTGGGTCAGTTCTGTGAACCATGATGACCTGGCACCAATTTTGGATTTTGTCCTATTTGTGCTGGGGAACACAGGGTTTGCCCCAACTCTGCCCCCTCATAGTCCATACTGAGGAATGGGAGCTAGAGGCAGTTGGGGGCTGGGCAGGAGAAAGTGGAGTCAGGTGATTTCTGGTATTTGCCCTCAGAGTATATAGTGCTGTTACTTAGCCAGGAGAGACGAGGCTGGGGTCAGATACTGTGTTGGCATATGACACATATGCTGGTGCTTGCTCTTCAAGGACTGAGTGGGCTATTGGGTGGCTGTCATCAGAGCTCTGGAGGCTCACCCAGGATGATGTGCAGATCCAGAGTGGGCTAGCTGGCACCCAAAGAAGGAGGAGACTGTGATAAGTTGTTGCCAGTTAATAAGGAGCCTGGAGACCTGGAGGCTACAGGATCAGATTTGTTCCAGTAGGGTGATAGTTGCTCAGCCAGCTGCTGCCCAGCAGTCAAATACATGGGCCTGGGCCTGACCAGGATTTGCATTTATACAAGTTATTGGCTATTGGGTGGACGCTTCTTAGGGCAGTGTTCAAGACTGAGCGGTGAGGCAAGTGGAGATAAAATACTCAAGTGGGCTCTTCCTGGTGGTTTTCCCTTAGTATCACTTTAGTGGTCTGGTAGTGGCAGACCTGTGGCCTGGAGAGGCCTTTTTTGGTGGTGGTTTTAGCTCTGATTGAATAGTGGCATGTAGGGTAGAGCCTGCTGTCTCCCAGTATCATTTATGGTCCCCACCTCTGCTGCTTATGTGACATTCATTAGCCGCCTCATCACGTTGTTCATGTCTCTATCTTTATCACCTCTGAGGCTGCCTTGGTCCCTCCCTCGTGTCCCCTGGGACCCAGTGTGAATTCACGCCTCTTTGAGGGTTTCTAGCTACCAGATAACCAGAGGTCCAAGGCCTTGGCTTCCTGCAAGCCTGCTGGACGATGTGTCCTATTGGCTGGGAGTCTTTGTTCTGTCAGCTTTGCATTACCACCACGAAATGCCTGAGGGGGCCAGCTTTTTGAAGAGAAGCAGTTTGTTTAGCTTGTTTGGAGAAAGTCCTAGTGCATGCTGTAGCCATGTGGTGGATGGTGAATGGCAGAGTAGGTACAGAGAAAGGAGCAAATCTCAAGTCAGAAAGTAGAGACAGTGGATGTAGCAGGGTTTGCTCCTTTATGAAAACCCTCTCTTGAGAACTTCCCAGGAATTGCTTCACGTTCAGTGACCTGAGTCCCTAACACAGCTCCATTTTCACTACCTTCCAGGATTGCTACTCTAGCAACCAAGTCTCAATTACAGGTACCCTTGAGGGACATCAAAACCATATCCAAACCATAGACAGCTTGAACAGAACAATAATCACTTGACTTCATCTCCTCCTAGTGTCATGGCTGATGGGACCAGCTCTGAATCCAAATGAGAATGCTTTTGCTATCTGGTTTTCAGATGTGTCTGGCTAGAACAGTGCAGGTGGAGAGGACTCCAGGTCACTTTACCATTGAGCCACATCCCCATTCCTTTTTATTTTTTGAGACAGGCTCTCACTAAGCTGTTTAGGGCCTGCTAAGTTTCTAAGGCTGGCCTTAAACTTACAATTCTCTTGCCTCAGTCTCCTGAGCTGCTGGGATTATGGGCATGAGCTTATGCACATAGTATTCTTTTTTTTTTTAATTTTTTTTTAGTTGTATATGGACTCAATGCTTTTATTTGTTTTTATGAACCCAGTGCCTCACACTTGCAAGGCAAGTGATCTACCACTGAGCCACAATTCCAGCCCTGCACATATTATTCTTGATGATTAAGATAAATTCATTTAGACCCAGGACCACAAAAATAAAGACAAATTCCAAAACCCCAGAAGGTCATGAGGTCTCACTCACCTCCCACAAGGATAAGACTCAGGGACTTCTGCTTCACTCAGCATCCCTGGTATACATTGTGTTGAAAAGAAAATGAAACTTTGTCTCCATGAATAAGTGCCTAGATGTGACACCATCTCTCTTTAACTGTAATCTCCAGTGGGAGAGGGGAGTGGTTGATTAAGTGCATTTTCTTGTCACTACCTGCAGTGACTTCAGAGTGAGTCCACCTATCCTCAGGACAGTATGAGGGTAGACAGAGCCTGTGGACGCCTTGCTACAGCTTGGAAACAGGCAAGTGGGTCCATTCAGGGCCTGCTGTGGTTCTTTACCAGATGCAGTGTAGGCCACCAGGAGAGCAAGCATAATCGCCTGGCCAAGCAGAAAGCCCTCCACCCCCAGAGCATTTCTGCCTTGACTCAAGTCTGAGCAGTGAGGGGCCTTCCTCTTCATGCATAGTTGAAGGCTGGAGGAGTCTTATCTTCCTCCAGTTCCTGTGAAGGCTGATTAACACCTGTTTGCCCTTGTGATGCCCCACTTGCAGAGAGGAGTCAAGAACACTGCCTCTGGGCTCAGGGCTGAACTTTGGTCCCTCTCCTTTTGCTTTGTGATCTTGAGTCAGTTGCTTGATCTCTAATCCAGGTTCCTGCTCTGCAAATCGCAGGTGTTGGGCTTACTGGGTATGTTTGAGAGAGATCTGCCACCTCTGCCTACCCCTAACTGCCCTGGCCTAGAGGGTGGAGAATGTGCTTAGGATTCTGATAGAGCACCTTGGGATGAGGAAGGCATGTGACTATGGAGAACTAGCAGCCTGAGTAGTAATCCTGGGCACCTGCTGTGTTCAGACCTGCTGATCACCTCTCCCCCCATGCTTAGCAGAGACATGTCCTTTATGCAGAAAACAGGAACCAGTGAGAGGTTGGATAAAAGTCAAAGCTATGAAGCTGGAAGAGGCAAGAAATTGCTTCCTCAGGATATGACTGAGGCTGTCTCACACCTGGGCTCCTAACTAGTAGTCTTATGGGCAGCCCAGGTGGAGTCAGAACTAGCAGTTCCATGGCCCCAGCCTCCCTTGTTGGGGGCAGGCAGGGTGAGGTGAGGGGGCCCTGGTGGAGACCCTCTGCATTCTACAGTATAATGAGGTATACTTGCTTTTTGTTTTAGGTTTTGTGAAAACTTGTCCCATTGGGGAGGTGTGAGTGATCAGAGATGGGCCTGACAGGGGTGGCATTGGTTGTGGTGTTTTCCCTCCTTCATTGATAGGAGTTGACCATGCCTTGGCAGACAGAAACCAGACCAAGAAGGCTGTCCTGGCACCATGAACACAAGCCACCCTTACAGTAGTAAACATTGGGTCTCCAGTAGCCACTGCTTAAGGTAGTAAACATTGGGTCTCTCTGTTCTGGACTGCCATGGAGGTGAAGCACCTAGAGATTTCTAGTATGAGGCACAAATGTCCAGTGCTTCCAGGGGAAACAGTTATATGGGAGCTGTTCTTGTCAGCCTTCCTTTCCCTCAGAAGGAGAATTCAGATGGAACATGTCTTGGTGCGGGGTGCTGAGAGTAGGCTGACTGTCCCTTGTGTCTCCCCAGTGGGTGCCTCACAAATAAATCAAATGAATTGAGAAATTTATACAGTGCTGGTCATGGTGGTACATGCCTGTAATCCCAATGGCTCTTCTTTTACAATGCATGTCACTTGTGCATGGAAGTAGAACCACATGCAGGACAATTGGCATGACACTTGGAGCTCTGTGCGTTTAAGCAGGGTTCTTGGTCAGGACCTGTCTTCCAGAGCTGTTCTGTTTTCACCTGAAGCCACACATGCACTGGTGCCCTGGCCAGGGTCTGTAGGCATGACAGCCATCTGTAGTGGTTCCCTTTCATATGTCTACAGACACTTCTGGGGACCATGTCCAGAAGGGCAGTCTGGGATGAGTCGTGTTGTCTGTTTTTCCAGGAACTGTGTCATTGTGTTCTTAGAAGCCCCAAGGCTGGTGCCTGGTCTTGGAGCTGGCCTGGATCTGACTCAAAAAAGGGTGACTGTCTTGGGTCACAGGTAGCTTCAGTTTGCATTTAATAAAACATGTTCCTACTGGGCTGTTAAGGTTAGTTTTAAAACAACAAATTTTCTACCAATCTTCCTTAACTGTACAATATTCAGATTTTGGCCTTAGTTATGCCAAAAATGGAGAACTGCTTAAATATATCCGCAAAATCGGTTCATTTGATGAGACTTGTACCCGATTTTACACAGCTGAGATTGTGTCTGCTCTAGAGTATTTGCACGGCAAGGGCATCATTCACAGGTAACCTGATGGCCACCTAGGGTGATATGTGTGGGATGGTCAGTGTAATGATTGGGCCAGCAGCCATTTGGCCTACAAGCTACTGCTGATGCCCAGACCATCCCAGGCCTCTAAGATCAGCGTGGGTTTATGTTGTGGTGGGTGGGATATAGGTGCCAGGTGAGAAAAGGTTGAAGTCAGAGGAATATGCATGTTGAGTGTCTTCCTTCAGTCACCAGATCACAGTCGCCAGGTGTCTTCCTGCCTAGGCAGTAACTTGTACCATCTTGACTAGTGCTTTTATTTTATCAGTTGTAGCTTTTGTGTATACTTATTTCTGATCTCTTTTTCCAAATTGGAAGTATCCATAAGCTCTTTCTGAGTTAAAAATGATAGATTATACTGTAGTAAAACATTTATTAAAATGATAGATGGTATTATGAAGTGATATAATTACAATGACCTTATTGTATGCAGTTGATATTTATTTGGTGTGGACTTAGGGGCTTGTATTTTTGCTTTAATCCGTAAAGATGGTAAGTATTCATCACATCATCACTGCGTTGTTGTCATCAAAAGATAAAGTATGTAATAATGCTGCTGTTGTATTTCATCTCAAACATAAATATCTACTTTTACAGGGACCTTAAACCAGAAAACATTTTGTTAAATGAAGACATGCACATCCAGATCACAGATTTTGGAACAGCAAAAGTTTTAACCCCAGAGAGCAAACAAGGTGTGTGAGTTTGGTTTCCAGCAGAGCTTAGCTCTGTGCTTAAAACTGAAAGCAACTTCTGAGAAATGTGTAGCATTGTGTGGTCTTTAGCATTACTGCAGAGACTCATGGTGCCTTTCTTGGGGTCCCACTGTAGGGCACCAGGCAGCATGTCCAGTCTAGAAGGTGTAGGGAAGGAGGCTCTGTTCTTGTGAGTGTCCTGTGGCCCATCCTCCCATGAGTTTTTGCAGAGCTGCCTGGCCTCTCCTTCTGTGCTTGGGCTCCCTGTGAGAGAAAGACATTGGAGGAAAGTGCTGGGGGATGAATGTGCTGACCACAGGCTTGGAGCACCAGTGTGCTGGTGGAAGTAAGACTCCAACATAAGCATCTCCAGTGCTGCTACTCTTGTTGAATAGGGGGATGGTGATGGTTCTGGCCTCTCCACCAGCAGCCAGCTAGTTCATGGGAGCTAGAGCGGATTATACCCAGCTTCCTGACCAGTTCTGTCTGCAGGGTGCTACTAGGAGGAGCCAGCCTGTTCCCCCATGCAGCGCAGGCTTCCCGTGCTAGAGTCTGTGTCTTTCTGGGTGCTGTATTGACTCCAGTGTCTTAGATGATAGTCTATTCCCCTGGTGCTTCTGAAAGCTCCTAAACCTGGATCTGTTGGACTTGTTAATAGTAATCATATTACTGGCTGGTAATTCTGTTTTCATGTACTTGATTTAACCTCATAGCTACAAGCATTGTCTAGCTGGGCGCAGTGGCGCATATCTATAATCCCAGCAGCTCAAGAGAATTACAAATTCAAAGCCAGCCTCAGCAATTTAGCAAGGCCCTAAGCATCTCAACGAGACCTCCCTAATATAAAAAGGGGCTAGGGATATGGCTCAGTGGTTAAGTGTCCCTGGGTTCAGTACCAAAAAACAAAACAAAACAAAAAATCAAACACATTGTCCACTACAAAATTGAACCAAATGTCTGCCAGGTTTTTGTGCAAGGATCTGTCAGCTCCTTGTCCTGCCTGTGCTGACTCTTCCTGCATGATACGAGTCCATGGTATATCTTGGGCAGCAGGACTGGGACATCTTTGGCCCCCCATCAGCTATGGGAGCCGTACCTGGGCTGTGCTCTGTGCATCTTCCTTTTTGTAGATTTTCTTCAGAATCTGATAGTTTAGCCAGGGCTTGTGCCCTACAGCCACTTAAAAATATATAAAAATTTAAGTGCATTTGTGAATTAGTGAAATAAACCTTTTCTTCTAGAAAGGTTTTCTGCTAGAAGTCCTTATGGTGTTGTATAACCCAGGACAGTTGCTTGTATATGCAGAGGAGGTGGCAGGGTTGTTTCTTTCTTAGAGGAAAAGGGACAAATATCTGATTCATTTTAGTAACTTCTCTTTGGAGTAGTTCACAATCAGAATTTATTCCTATACTGGCTTCTTTTTACTTTCATGCATAGTTAGTTCCCCTAAAACATCTTTTTTTTTTTTTTTTAAGAGAGAGAGAGAAAGAGAGAATTTTTTTAATATTTATTTTTTAGTTTTCGGCGGACACAACATCTTTGTTTGTATGTGGTGCTGAGGATCGAACCCGGGCTGCACGCATGCCAGGCAAGCGCGCTACCACTTGAGCCACATCCCCAGTGCCCCCCAAAACATCTTGAAATCTTCTAGAATAAGGTGTTGGTGGGAGCAGGGTCACCCAGGTTCCCTAGCTGTGGGCATCTTGCACTCTCCTCCTAGACGGAGGCTATGCCCTGTGTTTGTGAGGGCAGATGATGGGCAGTGGAGCAGGGCAATTGAAAAGGGCATGTGGGATTGATGAGGGATTCTGGTTTTGCCCTTACCTGAGGATCCTTTAGATACATCCTGGTGAAGACAGCTTAATCCACTTGGAGTAAGCAGCTCATCGGTTCCTGGACTTTGCCCTCTTTACAAAAGCCTTGGAAGAGTTTGCGTGTCTTGGAAGTTCAGACTGGGAGTTTGTTTCTGGAAACCCAAGTTCTGACCTATTAAGGTCTTTCTGGTATTCAGCCAGGTGCAAAGGCTGCATTCAGCAAATAGGAAGGAGAGGGGGGTCAGCGATTGTGGGCAGGGAAGCTAGAGGGGATGGATAGGGAGGTTTTAATCACTGCAGTGGCCCCACATCCCCACCTGTGGTTGGCCATCCTTCAGATCCCCTGGCCAGCTGCCATTTGTCTTTATGCTATGCTGTGGACCTCACATGACTGCCTTGGTCTTGTTATTATTCTAGCGTGGGCAGGACTGCCTGCCTAGGGACAGAAATGGTTGCCTTCAAATGGATTTCCCAGCATTACCAAAGTATGCCTATCCTCCCACCCAGCATAGCTCTATCTGTCTTGATAGAGTTTGCTTTGGTCTTTCAGTATGGGCCTGTTCCTTTATGGATTGATGCTTACTGAAAAATGGCCCCTTGTAAGTTGTACCATTGGAGTCCCACCAACAGTCCTGCATGTTCCCTCAGATCCTTGTTAATGCCATGCATTTCATTCTTTTTTTTTTTTTCCTGTTTGCCAACTTGATATGCTATTGTGGTGTTTTTGTTTTGTTTTGTTTTGCTTTTTGTTTGTTTGTTTGTTTTGGGAGGGAGGTACTGAACTCAGGGGCACTTAACCACTGAGTCACATCACCAGCCCTATTTTTTGTATTTTTTTTAGAGATAGGGTCTCACTGAGTTGCTTTGTGCCTCGGTTTTGCTAAGGCTGGCTTTTGAACTTGTGATCCAGCTGCCTCAGCCTCCAGAGCTGCTGGGATTCCAGGTGTGCACCACTGTGCCCGACACTTTTTTTTTAGAGCTTTATAGTAGTTGGGTTTATCCTGACAAACTCATACAGCACGAAATTCAGTTTCAGTTCATGATCCCCCCCCCACCTTTTCCCTCCTGTCCTCCCTCTTCTCTCCCATTCTCCTTCCTGTACGCTACTAGACTTCCTTTTGGTCTAAACTATTGTGTTTTAATTTGGGGCTGTGGTTGTGGCTCAGCAGTAGAGTGCTCACCTAGCAGTGCAAGGCCCTGGGTTCGATCCTCAGCACCACATAAAAAAATAAATAAAACAAAGGTATTGTGTCCAACTACAACTAAAAAATAAATATTAAAAAAAACTATTGTGTTTTAATTTACATTTCTTGGGTTCACTACATGGTTGAGTGGACTCTTTTGTTTTTGACTCTTGGTTTGGTTTTCTTTCCTCTTGGGCCTCCTTGGTGTCCTTGAATAGTATCTTTCAGGGTCCTGGCAGGACACAAATGCAGCCAAGAAGTCTTCAGAAAACCATTTACTGAAAGGACCATTTATATGACTGAAGGACGAACTAAGCTGGGTTCCTACAGAGAAGCTGTGGGCCTTCCTCAGCCTGGCCGCATAGGGTGGGAGGGATGGCTTAGAACTGGTTTGCAAGCAGGACAGGTGGTAGCAACTTCAGTGAGTGAACCAGACCTGCCAGTTCCTTGTGTACAGGCAGCTGGGCCCCAGCTGTGGTGCTGCTTTGTCTGTCTGTACTATGACTGATGAGTCCCCATGGTCCTAAAACCCTGGGGTCTCTGATGATGAATGGGTCCAGAGGGCCTGCGTACCAATCCTGTGACCTATGGATGAACCTCAAGTAATCTAGAACTGAAGGTAGCCAAATGTGGAGAGTTTCTGGAATGGAGGCTTTCAGTCTTACTGGCCTTGGAGCCCCTGTATGCCCGAGCTGTTGGTGACTGAGAAGAGGGTGGTCTCTGGCCTACAGCCGTTTGTTGTGGCTACTGTGCATCCGTGTATGTTTAGGTGCTGCACGTCCAACAGTGAACACAACAGACAGGGCCCCTGTTCTCATGCTGCCCTGCTGCAGTGACGGGATGATGAGTGTGCGTCATGAATGCTTTTTACAGTCATATATCATATCAGGTGGGAGTTGCCAGGGAGGATTGCACAGTGTTCTGGGGTCCAGCAGGCATTTTTGGGTGGGGCTTAAAGAGTCTGGCTCCTGAGAGAGCTCAGTTTGCTCCAGGTGACCCTCACTGAGCTGACAGCAAGCTCCTCTCTGCTGTGTTTGTACTATGATATCTTGGGGAATGCACCAGCTGTGTAGTTGTTGGTGGGCAGGGGATTACAGCTCCAGGTATAACCTTTTCTTTCTCTCTCCTCAGCCAGGGCCAACTCATTTGTAGGAACAGCGCAGTATGTTTCTCCAGAGCTGCTCACAGAGAAGTCGGCTTGTAAGAGGTAATCTGCTTTTATCTAATCATGTTTCTCTTCTCTCTATGGTAGCTACTAGGTTTCTTCATGAGAAATTAATATTTGAAAGAGGAACTTTGGTGGCCTTTATATAGTCAAGCTTACTTTGAAAAAAATCATAACATTTTGCTTTTCTTTGATACACATGTATGCTCCTTTATCATTATATTTCATATTTCAGGGTTAGTTGTTGATCTTTGGTTAGTTATTTGCTCTTGTTCCTTTAGGAAACTGCTCAGTGGCAAAGTACTGTTGCTGTGCTATAAGGCTGTGGCAGCTGTGCACTGTTTAGTGTCACAGAGTCTGCAGAGGTGGGCAGAGGCCCAGGAACCATGGGAAGTGGAGGTTTGCAGCTAGGTACAACCAGTCCTGGTACAGGCACAGTGGTCACAGCAGTGAGGGTTTTTGCAGGATGCAGCTGGGCCTTGGTGGTGCTCTCAGTCATGAATACTAGAAGAGCTTTTGCTGGTCCAGGAATGGGTTCTGTTTGTAAGAGGGCAGGAGGATCAGTCTGCAGAGCAGTTGATCAGCAGCTGATGGCCTGGAATAGGGAAGAGTTGAAGTGCTGTCTTGGAAGACTGAGAGAGGTAGCACTAGATTCTGTGCTCAGGTTTGGAGAGCAGTTCTAGGCAACAGATCTGTGGAATGAAGATGTAGCTGGGCTCTCCCCTCCCTGGACCAGTCAAGCTCTGCTTTAGTGTCTGATTTGGCTCAGCTACTGGGTCCATTGTCACACAGTCTCCTGCGGACAGTCAGTGTCCTACTCTGACAGGTAACAAGGGGCTGCCCCTGTGAGAATGAATGAGTGATTCTGATTAAGCCCCTCGGTTTCTAAGCTTGGAAGCTTTGAAAACTCAAGGGTAGTGCCATGGCACACACATAATGGCTGCATGGAAGGTGCTCTGAAAAATTAAACTTGAGCATCTCAGTTGTAATGGGCTTCTCTATTTTGGTTTTTCTCATTCAGTCATGAGATTTTGAATTCTGAACAAGGGCCAGACAGAGCTGCCCAGTGGGAGTGATTCTGCCCCTGGGGACATTTGGCCCTGTCTGAAGACAGTTTGGGTTGTCAAAACAGGGGTGTAGAGTGCTTTTGACCTGCAATAGGTGAAGGCCAGGGATGCTGCTCAGCCTCTTATAGTGCAGAGGATGCATCAGCCAGGGTGCACAGTGTGAGGTGGTAGGTGTGGCCTCCTGACTTCCAAGTGTGTTATATCATTGTCTGAGAATTGGCTTTCCTTGCTATCAGTTCTGCTCTGGGTGACAAGCTTGTCAGCACTGATGGGTGCAAGCACCTAGACCACTCTGCGTGAAGCAGGGACATACATGCATGTTTGTGTGTGTAGCTCATGTTCTCTGTGTGGGGACAGACAAGAAATGACTGGGGCATGGAACAGGGTTTTAAGGGAGACATCACTGTGTATTTCTTTTGCTTTTAACTTTCTAAATCTTGGGATATTCCTTTACCTGTTAAATCTCAATTCTCTGTGTATTTCAATGAAATTGACAGTTGTATTAAAATAGATTGGTTGGAAATTATAATCTAGAGTGTATATATTATTACATTCATATGAGCTGATGTCCATTAATATTACTATCATTGTTGTGTTATATAATTATACTGTTATATAAATTTATGTTACGTACTATATTTAAGTTTTGGGTGTTATTTTTTTAATTTTTATTTTTTTTGGTATTAGGCATTGAATCCAGGGGCACTTTATTACAAAGCTACATCCCCCAATCCTTTTTATTTTTAAATTTATTTTTAAATATTTTTTAGTGGTTGACAGACTTTTATTTTATTTATTTATATGCAGTCCTAAGAATTGAACCCAGTGCCTCACACATGCTAGGCAAGTGCTCTACCACTGAGCTACAATCCCAGCCCTTCATTCTTTTATTTTGAAACCAGGTCTTGTAAGGTGCTGACCCTCTTGCTATATTGCTGAGGTTGGCCTTGAACTTGGGATCCTCCTGCCTCAGCCTCTCAGCCACTGGGATTATAGGTGTGCATCACCATGCCCGGCCTGTGTTTGTTTTTATAGGTGTTAACATCTGGGACAGTGGGACAAATGGGTTAAAAATAATTGAGAATTCTTTTCATATTTGAAAGGAGATTCCTAGCCATGTGCGATGGTGCATGCCTATAATCCCAGAAACTCAGGAGGCTGAAGCAAGAATATTGCAAGTTTGAGGCCAGTCTCAGTAATTTAGTGAGACCCTGTCTTGCAATAAAAAGTAGAAAGCACTGGGGATGTAGCTCAATGGTAGAGCACCCTGGGTTCAATTGCCAATACCAATAAAGGGGGAAGGTCCTACTAATTGTTAAAAATTCTCAGAAAATGATTCTCCAGATGAGTGTGTTGGCACTTTCCTATCATCCCAGCTACTCAAGAAGCTGAGGTAGGGAGATTGTAAGTTTGAGACCAATTAAGACAAATTAGTGAGATCCTGTCTCAAAGAAGAAAGGTTAGGGTTAGGGTTAGGGTTAGTAGCTCAGTGTTAGAGCACTTGCCTTGAATGTGGGAGGCCCTGGGTTCAAGCCACAGTATTGCAAAAAGAAAAAAAAAGAAGAAGAAGAAGTCTGCAAGCCCACTTGCAGATAATAACTTGGTATATTTTTCGTGTCTGCATTAAATGTGTTTATGTAGTTTGATACAAATGGAGTCATTGCATGGCCAGTATAAATCCTGATCCTCATGATTCTGTGATGAACAGTTCCCATGTCATTAAGATTATCTGCCAGCCTCTTTACTAGTTGTGTAATTTTCTGTTGCATGAGTTTATCATAGTTCATCAAACTGTCCCTTTGCTGCTGGATGCTTGAGGTGGTGCTGGTGTGTCTGCTATGTGCTGCTGGGCCCCCTCTGGGTATGAGGAAGGTACCAGGGCTCTGACTCAGGGGGGTGCCCTGTCATTCATCTGGTGGGAAAGACAAAGCCACAGTGAACATTTAAGGACTTCTTGGTATATAACGCTTTCCACAACCATTATACTGGGTCCCCCCCTTTTATTATTTTGTATGGAGGGGTGCTGGGGATCGAACTCTGGGGTGCTCTGTCACTAAGCTACATCCACAGCCCTTTTAAAATTTTTTAAAATTTTCAAATACGGTCTTGATAAGTTGCCCAGGCTGGCCTTGAACTTGCCATCCTCTTGCTTCAGCCTCCTGTGCAGCTAGGATTACAGGCATGCACCACTTCTACTGGTTCCCTTCTATTATTGTATTAAAAAGACATATAAATTTCTAAAATACAAGCTCATGATAAAACATTGAAATAGGTAAAGAAAGAGGAAAAAAACAAAAAGAAAACAGAACAAAAAGCAAAACATTGAGATAATTCACAGAGGAGGAAGAAGCTGCCCCAGAGCCATTTTTGTATGAATTCCCACAATCCAGAGAGGATTCAGAGAGGCTACAGGTTTGACTGCCCTGCCCCTCTATTTGCACACTGAAGGGCATGTGCTTGACTCCCTGGTTTTTCTTACGTCACTCTCTATTTTAACTAAACACTAAAGAAAACCAAATGTAAACTAGTTACTGAGTTCAATGTAAATTAATATTTTAAATGCTCTTTACCCTGTTATGACTCACATTTCTTATTTTTAAAACCAACCTAAGTGTCCTGGCCTGCTGTGCTGGTGATGCTGGGGTGAGAACAGAGCCTTCACCCAGGCTTGGTCACTCTGGCTGGCCTACTGTCTAGAGCAGTGGTTTTCACCCATGTCCTATGATGTCATCTTTCAGAATGCCAGGCCACTGTCAGCAGCCTGTGAGCCCTGTGCATACCCAGTCTTGCGGGGAGCTGGGAATGGAAGGCAGGACTTGGAATAAATACTGTAAAGTCATCACAGTACACTGAGAGTGGGTGGGAGAGCCAGACAGACTTGGAATGCTGTGAGGGCAGATGAACAGCAGTCTTAAGATCTTTGACAGCTGGGGACATTCTGGAAACAATTTAGAGACATTTAGAACTGTGCTGTTTTCCCTTGAAAATGGGTAATCCAAATGTTTATAAAGGAAGGGCAGGGCTTTTTACAGCAGAGTACGAGAAAGGAAGGGCAGAGCCTCCTTTATGAGTATCCTGTGGATGAGCCTCTTGACTCTGTGGCATGCGACATTCACACCTGTTCTGATGTGAGCTCAAATGGGTTAGTCTCAAGTGTACCACCTGCAGTGGTGAGGCCAGCTCCTTCAGCCTGCTCCTCAGCACTGAAAGGAGTTTGCTTCTGTCAGACTGTTCCTGGTGTCATCCCTGGAAGCCATGTGACCATCCATCTTCACTCTCTTACTGCTGCAGCCTGATTGCAGTAGCCTGGCATGGTGTGACATTGGCAGTGAACTCTGCTGTCTCTTAGGGTGGATGGAGAAGTTGTGAACCCCTGGTGGAGGTGGCAAAGCTTCAAGGGCAGCTGAACCCAGCTGGTGGCACTTGCTAGCCTTTGGGCCCATGGCCCTGGGGAAGCTCCCCAGAAGGGCAGTTCGTATCTCACACATACCTGGTCCCAAGAGACAGGAGTACCTGGTGGCCGAAACTGGTGTGGCATGGAAGAAGTGGAAAGTGAACTGTGCTCATCATTTAAATTATACCAATGCCATTTTTCTTTGTCTTCTCCCTACCTTAAAGTTCAGATCTTTGGGCTCTTGGATGCATAATATACCAGCTTGTGGCAGGACTCCCACCATTCCGAGCCGGGTAAGGAGACTCCCAGGCTTCTGAACCCATCACAGTACACCCAATTGCCTGACAGAGTGGAAGGGGTGCAGTAACAGGGGCCATACCCAGCTGGGAAGGAATTTCCACCATGACTTATAAGTGCACAGGGCTTGGTGGCTTGTGGGTAGTCTTTTGAGATAAGGGCAACCCTGAATCATTCTAGGAAAGGTCATTCAGCACTGGAGGTGTGAACAAAAGTCCTGTCCAAATGACTGCTTTTTCCCCCCCGCCCACAGAAATGAATATCTTATATTTCAGAAGATCATTAAGTTGGAATATGACTTCCCAGAAAAATTCTTCCCTAAGGCAAGAGACCTTGTAGAAAAACTCTTGGTAAGTATTCTGAATGTTCTCTTGATGGGGGATCCCATTACACTACCACCCATTGTATCCTCTGACCCTGTAATCCTGTGTCATTGGAAAGATACATCCAGGGTTGATGGATTCTAAATAGAATTGTGTCTTTATCTCATCTCATTATAAGCCCCCTTCAACTTCCAAATGTCTGATTCCTGACTTTAATAAGACAGGTTAATTACTGTTATCATTTTGAATGTGCTCAATATCACATAGCATTTTAAGTTACTGCTCTTAGAGCAACTAGAGTTATTATGGTGGCAGATGGTTGTAAATCCTACTTAAGTGTCATCTGCTGATGTCAACTTTAAACTACATGAAGATTTTAAAGATAAACCCAGGTGATGAAACAGAGATACAGATTTAATTAGGAAAGGTAAATCAATTTATATTCCAGAAACTGAAAGTGACCTGGCCCTGGTTGCTTTGGACTCTGAGCTTCCTCCCTCTCTTGATTTTAGGGGAGCAGGGTCAGCTCTTCTTTGCTGTCTGCTCTGTCTCCTTTCCTAGTACCCCTTGAGGTCCTGGGGGCACATCCCCTCCCTAGTGTCCCCACTTGTTATCCAGGCTGATTGCTCTGTTATTAGAGCCAATTGGGTCATTTTTTTTTCTTATTTTAAGACTTTTAACTGCAAACTTGAAAAAGGTACTTTGCTGCTGCCACTGTGTTTTGAAATGGAGATTCATTTTCACCTGTGGGAGTCTTTGGGCAGAGCCCCTCAAGTGAGGCAGGAACCCAGAGAGGCCTCAACCACCCCTACAGCCCCACAGAAGGAGTGGGCAGGCCTTGAGGTGGACCGTGTTGCCTCTGCTCTTTCTAGGAGTGACTGAGAATCAGAAAGAATTGCTCCAAAAAAAAAAAAAATTGGTCAAAAATTACATTTTGACTCAGGCAGTAACTTGTCTTGACTGTCATTTAAGGTTTTAGATGCCACAAAGCGATTAGGCTGTGAAGAGATGGAAGGGTATGAACCTCTCAAAGCTCATCCATTCTTTGAGTCCATCACATGGGAGAATCTGCACCAGCAGACACCTCCGAAGCTCACAGCTTACTTGCCAGCCATGTCAGAGGACGACGAGGACTGCTATGGCAATGTAAGCTGACCCCTGTTGGGATAGTCTGGGCAGAGAAGAGTTGTGCTTGTCATGCTATGTGAACATGGCTCCTCTGTGCACTCAGGGTCCGTGCCCACATGCTACAGGACACTGATTTGTGTGATTAGTGGCTGAAGTATGAGCCAGTATTGTAAACCTATCGGTGGTAAAATGCTTCGCTGCCATGAGGCCTGGGTGGGCTAATTCCTTTCTCTCATATCTTCAGCTGTGAAAAGTCTGGGGAGTTTTCCCTCAGGAGTGAGTCTGGAACCCAGTCCTGGGTTGGGAAGCAGTGCCCTGGAGGCATCCCTGAGCTCCTGGCACTGGGTCTCCTGGTGGCTCATTATTGTAGTGCCATTATAATTGTGTCTAAGATGTTCAGGAATATTGCTTATCTTTCCAAAAAAAGCTTAGAGTGCTGCTCTTTGAACTCGCAGGAATGTACATGGAGGGTGGACTCTGGTCACTGCAGCTTGATGCTCAGCAGGAACTGGAGCCAGTTATGAGGGTACATCACCTGGCTCTATGAACATCTCTGTCACTGGTTTTGAAGCTCCTTGTCTCCCAAGGCTTAACCACACACAGAGGATCTTAAGTACACTTATTCTTAAAACTTTTTATCCTGGAAAATGGGAAAGATGCAAAAAAGGGCAGAAAGGTATAAGGAGCTATGGTATGCCCACCTCCAGCCTTCAGTCTTTTTTATCCAAGCTCCTCTTATCATCTTCCATTGTTACCCCTCAACATTTAAGTTTGATTTAAAAATTCACTATCTCCTAGGTGTGGTGGCACATGTCTGTAATCCCAGCTACTCAGGAGGCTGAGGCAGGAGGACCACAAGTTCAAGGCTAGTCTGAGGAACTTAGAGAGACTCCATCTCAAAAAATAAAAAGGACTGGGGGATGTAGCTCAGTGGTAAAACACCCCTGGGTTCAATCTCTAGTACTACCACACAAAAATAAATAAATAAATAAATAAAAATTAGTATTATAAAAGTTTATTATGATTGACAGTTCATTTTTCTGGTTTGATTCTATCATCATGGCTTATTCTAACCAGTTAGAATAAGTTCATAGGGTTCTGCTTCAGTTGACTGAGGAGTTCTAGCTCATATCTAAAAGTCTTCCAAAGCTAAATTACAGTCACTACTGGTTTCATCTCATAGAGATCACGTGTTCAGTTCAAGAGTGCTATACCACTGAGCTACATCTACCCAGTTCTTTTAATTTTCGAGATAGGGTCTCCCTAACTTGCTGAGGATCCCACTAAGTTGCTGAGACTGGCCTCGAACTTGTGATCCTCCTGCCTCTGCCTTCCAAGTCACTGGGATTACAGGTTGTGTGCCACCTTGCCTGACAACACATCAAGGGTTCCCTATGTCCCCTTCCTGTAAAGCACATCCATCCTTTTGTCCTAAAATACCCTTTGTACCCAGACTTTAGCAAGACTCAAGAGCATCTATGTATCTGCTTCTCACAGCCATCCATAGCCTCCATTCTATAAGCTCCAGAAACCTCAGCCCCAGGAGTTCAGAGTCTCTTGCCTGCTTCCCTACATGCTGGCCAGATGCTGCCCCCTAGGGTCAGGGTCAGGAGGAGCTTTCCCAGCTGAGCCTGTCATACCTTTAGAAGTCTCACTTGGGACTGGTAGGCAATTTTCAGCCCATGGGCTCTGTGCCCTTTTCCTGTTATTCCCAGGGACCAGCCACACTCTGAAGGAATCATATAGGCTCTTGTGTCTCTAGTCTCAATACCCAGGAGCTTCTCTTCACGCAGGGTGTGATGAGCATCATGCATGAGTGCACTTCACACCCTGAGTATCTCTGCAGATCTGTATATGTGATGCTGTAGATACTGAATTTTTGATCACAAGCTTTGGCTGCCACTATAAACTCTAGCTCTGAGCGTCATAAGCCTCTTTTTTTAGGTGACCACTGCTTAGCTGTCCCACTAAGACCTTGGGAAGCACCTGGGCGAGAGCTCCCCATGCCAAAGCTCACCTTTGGACAACTAGTGAGCCTAGGAAAAGGCTTAGCAGAGGGAGTGTTGGCATAGGGAAGTCCACTCTGGAGATGCTCTCTCCCTGTGGATAGAACTCCTTCACCTAAGAGTTCAGTGTCCACTCTGGAGTCGGTACAAGGACGGCAGGCATACTGATTCCCTGCAGCTTGCTGATGGTGACATTTTTTGCTGGTCTCTGTAACATTGGAGTGAACCTAGCCAAGGCTGGGCTCTTGCGAAGAAGGATCCACAAGGGTCAGCAGAGTTGGATGTTCCATGGTGCCCATTGGCAGCACCTTACTCCCACCCAGGAATCCCCTTTCCCATGTGTCCTGCCTGGGACTCACCTTGGCCCTGGCCCTGGCCCTAAGCTGGGCTACTGAGAGGAGGCGTGGAGACTAGCATAGTGCTTCTGGAACTGGCCATGGGATAATGTGTGGGAGCTCCAAAGCAAGAATGGCCCAGTGTGTTGTGGTCATGGCATCTCTGAGACACAGGAGAGTCAGTGCTACATTGGTACTAAATTCAGTTTTTGCCAGCAGCATCCTAGGGCCAGTTTTTGAGCCTTGGTTTCTCTGTCAGAAATGGAGAAAATGGTAGTAGCCACTTTGCTGGCTCCAAAGGCTCTTATGCCCCCCAGATGGGGGATTTGTGGTTACCTCTGTAAACTTCATGCATAGGCATCCTTGAGTTAGGGAGTTCTTAAGAAACCGAGACTGTACCAGACTACATCAATTCTGGAGACAGCAAGGAGAGGCTGTGACTGCTGCAGGGCTGTGTGAGCAGGTGCTTTCAGGAAAGTCCACTGGGTAGCATGTGAGGAGGCTGGGTGTAGGGCCTGCAGAGGGCAGGAGGTATCCTCTGTGGGGTAGAAGGCAGGAGTCAGGTGTGGGGCCTAAAGCTGGGGTGGCTTCAGAAGTAAGCTGATGCACAGCTCTGCCCATGTGGATCATTTGTGAATAGCTGTTTTCTGTCAATACTGGTTTATATGTTTCTTAGAATAACAGATAACTTTGTTTATACCAAGTTAATTACTCTTCACTGAGATAAAAAGAATAGTTTTTTTTTTTTTTTTTTAATTGAAGACATGGTGAGTCAAATCAAAATATGTAGTACTGACTCAAGAACACTGGGCCAAAAGAGGAGTATGCCTGGGTATTAAGTTCTTTGCCCAGAGGGTGCAGCCTCTGGTCTCTTTCTCTTGTGGGTCCAAGAGGCCTTAGGCTGCTGCTGCTCTTTTGCTGGGCTGGATGAGGGTCCCAGGTCTCGATCTCCCTGGTAATAAAAGGCTGAGGCATACACAGCCTCTCTCTCTGTCCCTTGCTCCTATTGGAAGAGAAATCCTGGAAGGTTTGGTCCTGCCTTGGCTAGATGGCCAAATGGCCAGTGAAGGAGAATTGGATCTCTACATGCTTTCCAGAAGGGATCAATGGACTACCTGCCTTTGTGGTGTGTGTAAGCTCACCAGATATGAGAGGGTCATAGAGGTGGGCTGTGTGTGTGTGTGTGTGTCTTTGTCTTTGACCCTAGAGGAAAATTAAGGCATCTTTCTCTTTTGTTCTTCCCCACAGTACGACAATCTCCTGAGCCAGTTTGGCTGCATGCAGGTGTCCTCATCTTCCTCCTCCCACTCCCTGTCTACGGCAGATGCGGGCCTGCCCCACAGGTCAGGCAGCAACATAGAGCAGTACATCCACGATTTGGACACTAATTCTTTTGAACTGGACTTACAGTTTTCTGAAGATGAGAAGAGGTTATTATTGGAGAAGCAAGCTGGTGGAAATCCTTGGTAAGAAGTATAGTATAGTGGCTGAGCACAGTGGCGCATACCTATAATCCTAGAGACTTGGGAGGCTGAGGCAGGAGGATTGCAAGTTCAAGGCAGCCTCAGCAACTTATCAAGACCCTAAGCAACTTAGTGAGACCCTGCTTCAAAATTTAAAGGGGGTAAAGCACCCCATTAAATCCTCGTTTCCCCTCTACCTCTAAAAAAAGAAATACAGGTATAACCAACACTAGAAATGCAATGAGCCCAGAGAGTGGCTGGCAGGGCTGGAGGGAGATCTTGCCTGGTACCACCTCCCCGTGCCTGAAGCATGCTGCAGGGTCAGTTATTAAGTGGGTTGGGACCCTCAGAGCCCTGGTTCTAGTGGGCAAGGCTGGAGACAGTTCCCTTGCTCTGCCAGGCATTTGGATGGCCCAGGTGTAGGTGTGGAGTCCCTATGACTAAAATAGATGCTGCCCATAGGGAGACATTGGGGTGTTTCTAAGGTCCTGATTTTTATTTGTATTGAAGCAGACGTTTTCCATGTTCATTGGCCATTGTGTTTTTTCTTTTTCTTTCTTTCTTTTCTTTTTTTTTTAAATTTTTTTGAGGTGCTTTGTATCCTCTGCTTTTTCTTGTATATTTTGCATCTTTTTAAAATTGACTTTTAAGAGCCATAATGAAAGATATTCTCTGTTGTATACTTAGCCAACATTTTTCTACAGTTTATCTCTTTTGTCTATCCATGCTGTTGTTTTGTATAGAAGTTGCAAATTCTCACAAAGTCCATCCTGTCCATGTTTTTATTGTTTTCTAACTTAGTCTCTTGAAAAGGGCCTCAGTATTTTTACCTGCATTTTCTTCAAGTGTTTTTATGCTTTTTTTTTTTTTTTTTGGTGCTGGGGATCAAACCCATGGTCTTGTGCATGCAAGGCAAGTACTCTACCAACTGAGCTATAACCCCAGCCTCAAGTGTTTTTATGCTTTTACCTTTCATGTAGGCAGACACACCCAAGGTGGTGGCATCTCTTGGGAAGGCATGTTGAGGTGGGGTGAAAATAGAAGATAGGAAGGGGAGAGTTGAAGCTTTGGCAAAGAAGGAGAGAGGATGCATGGGACTGGGGACTTGTGAGGAGAGAGGAGATGAGCCCTCAGAAGCTTCCCCAATGAGATGCAGAGGGAAAAGCTGAACGTAGCTAAGAATGGGATATTGTACCATCAGAAATTATCTCTGGAAAAAGAGTATAAATGTTGACTCCCCAGAAATAACCTACAATTCTAGGGAGTCTAAGTTTGTCCTTTAACTCACTTTTTCCTTAAGTGGTATTGCTAGGGATAGGAGCAAAGAATGTTTGGTGAAAACAGCTTGAGCAGTGCTGGACATAGCTCTGAACAAGTGTGTGTGCTGGGCTGTGTGGTGGCCTACTGGGCTCTTGCATGTTGGGCCTCCAGCCAACCTGCTCTTCACTGGCTCCTCTCCAGGTGTGTGTGCATCTTGGCTCCTCTGATGACCCCTCAAAGGTCTGTATCTCTGCCCAGGGGCAGGGTCACCCTAGGTGATTCAGTGGCAGGCTGGACAGGGGAGCTTGCATCCTCCTGCATGTGTCCTTTGGGTTTAGGGTTCTCTTTCCTTTTCCTCCAGATTTCAGGCTCATTGTGAAAGGTGATGACTACAGAGAGCTTGGAGGATCTCGCATTTGACAGTGGTCAATCCTTCAAGCATCTTGTTCTTGTGAACAGTGAGATTGGGGAGTCCCTAAGCTCAAGGCCGGGACTTGGGTGTATGATGCTATTAAAATTATTCATTCTTATTCTCTGGTAGTGTGCAGTAGAGTTTTTTTTAGTGGCTCCATGCTGTAGGGTGGACATTATTTTGACAATTAATGGAATGTGTATTGTTATTTCTAGAATTTTCTGAAGTTAGTAGGTTTATGGTTTAAATACGTGTATTTTTGGAGATTAATAGGTTCTCAATATTTCCACTGAACCCTTACTAGCAATCTTCAGTTATACCTGCTATAATCTTTGTAATTTTATATCATTCAATAAATCACTTTGAAATCCTGATGTTTTCCTTGAGCCTACATGGAAGCACAAGAAGAAGTAAGTATACTTCATTGACTTGTTTTGTACTATTATTAACAAATTTATCAAGAGATTTTGTAAATTGTACTAAAACCTATTTCAGATATTAATGTTTTTCTCCAGAAGTAAAATGTGTATTTTTCATATGTGAGTACGAGCCATTGGCTTAACAGAGGAGAAGCCTGCCTTCTCAACTGCTGCAGCATTGCTCAAGTCTAAAGATGCTGAAAAGAAGCCTAGCTTAATTTTATTTTGGTCTCATTAAGTTGCCCCAGCCGTCCTCAAACTTTGGCTCCTCCTGTCTCAGCCTCCCACTGCAGGCATGTGCCACCATACCTGGCAGCCATGGGGGAAGGACCTCATAGAACCAGAGGTGGTACTCCATTGTGTTAGGGTTACCTTCACCATCTGCAGCAGGAAGTCCCTGGAGAAGGTGCATGCTGACTTGAGAGGTCAAAGGAAAAGGATCCTTCAAAATGAAAGGAGCAGGGCTGGGGATGTGGCTCAATCCTCAGCACCACATACAAACAAGGATCTTGTGTCCGCCAAAAACTAAAAAATAAATATTAAAAAAAAATTCTCTCTCTCTCTCTCTCTCTCTTTAAAAAAAAAAAAAACCAAAGTGAAAGGAGCCATTCGGAAACCTACTAAGACCCTGAGATCATCTAGAGAGTGCCTTATGGTGAAGGTTCTTAGACACAGAGTGGTTTCCAGAAGAGAATCCACAGCAACACACTGACTTTCCAGCCCTTCCCAGAATGTTAAGCAAGTTCCTTCTGTCAACTTCAAGCCAGGAGCCAAGTTGTCATCACCATTGCAGATGTCTAAATCAATTATTTTAATAAATTGATTATCAGTTATTAAAAAAGAAGGAGAAAGGGCTGGGGATGTACCTCAGTTATAGAGCACTTGCTTAGCAGGAATAAGACCCTGGATTCAATTGCAACTTCTTCAAACAAAAGAAACTGAAATGCCAGAGAGCTTTATATGTGGCAGGAGGAATCTACACCAGTGAAACTAGGCAAAATTATAAATACAAAACAAAAATGGGATAAAAGCTGTCTTTCCTTTGACTTTATAGATCTTAATGCTTTGCTTTTTTTCTGTCTGAACAGAACTTTGCACAATATTATAGTTCTGAATATAAATTAATAAATATATAAATTAATTACAACTTTTTTGGGGGGAGGGTGATGGGGATTGAACTGGGGACCTTGTACATACTGGGCAATGCCCTATCACTGGCTATCTCCCTAGCCCTGCAACATCTTTTTGAGACCAACAGTTCAGAGTTTTAAAGATAGAGAATTTTTTAAAGGGAATGTTTTCTACTTAAAAGGAACATTTTAAATGTGTATGTGCTGAGATCTTTAATAGCTAAGCACTTTTACAGTGTTCCAGACTAGAAATTAAAAAGCCTTTGAAGCACACAGAAAAGTTGGGCTGAGGATACAGAGGCCACACAGTCTCTGGGAGACAGAGGCTCCTGGCTGCAACTGTGCTTCCTACATGGAAGCCAACACTGCCACTGTCCACAAGACAGTGGAAATGCACCATAGAGGAGGGAATTCATATCCCTGCTTTCTCCTGTAAGGCAAGTTGTGAATGAATGTGCACACAGGACAGGACTTGTTGAGAAGCTGGTACCACCCAGCTTCTCACCAAAGATGTTCTGTTGTTTTGAAGTTCTTGGCAGTAAGCACAGACAGTGCTGACATAGTCGAAATGTGGAAGAGTCCCTATTCAAATAGTTGTTGTGGAACAATATGTGCTCCTTTGTGCTGAGGTGCAGAAGCTGTGGTGGATACAACTGCTGGCATCAATTGAGGCCTAGGCATCAAGCAGTGCAGGGCCATATTAGTTCTTCATAGCCATATGCTCATAGAAAGAAAAGAAGCTGGTCTCACTTTCAAGTATTTCTAGAAATAATGAGTTTGGTTGATGTTCCACGTGACGACATGGAAAGTATGCCTTGGCACTTCTGCTTAGAACACAAGTGTGACAGCTGTTTCAAGGAAAGCACTTATTTGCACACTTGACACTCTCCAGGTAACACCATCCCCACTAGAGTCTGATTGGTTGGCCAACTGCAGTTGTGCAGGTGTGGGCACTTGGATGACATTTTTCTTTTTTTTTTTTTTCTTTTCTTTCTTTTTTTTTTTTAGAGAGAGAGAGAGAGAGAGAATTTTAATATTTATTTTTTAGTTTTTTGGCGGACATAACATCTTTGTATGTGGTGCTGAGGATCGAACCCGGGCCGCACGCATGCCAGGAGAGCGCGCTACCGCTTGAGCCACATCCCCAGCCCCGACATTTTTCTTGATAATTTTTTTTTCAAAGAAAACAATTGCTAGTATCTGTACCGATGATAAAATTGAAATGTTCAAGTGAAAATTAGGATTTTGGAAAGTTGTTACTATAGTTTGACATCTTCTTTTGAGGAGATCAGTGTTGATGCTAATGAATTAATTCATTGATATTGTAGAGTGATACTTGTTGCCATTTGGAAGCTCTCCAGTATTTCCCAGATGACTCCACAGTGTGCTATTGTAGAATCATGTAATGGCAGAAGGTCCATTTCAAGTGTGAGGTAGATTGGTGGTGTTAAAGTCACAGAGCATGGAAAGCTCCTTAATGCTGTTCGTCTTTAAGAAACTACTACTTTTTGAGTTTTAGTATAATATCAAAGAAGAGTATCCACAATTATCTAAGAGGCTATTAAAACCTTCCTTTTTCTAGCAGTTCATCAGAAGGAGGCTGCATCTTTACATACTGGAGCCTGAAGGACAGATGTGAGAGTCTAGCTCCATTCTTCTAAATTAGATTTTTTAAATGCATAACCATGCTTCTCATTCCATTAACTATTTTTGCTACTGTCCTAGATATGGAACACGGGGCCTATCCTCAGCACTTTATTATTTTTATTTTGGCACAGTGTCTCACTGAGTTGCCCACACTGCCCTCAGACTTCAATCCTTCTGTCTCAGCCTCCCAAGTAGATGGCTCACAGGAGTGTGCCACCATGCTGGGGACAGAGGAGGTCACTTTTAAATATTATTTATGCAACGGATTTATTGTTTTAATGACTTAAATAAATATTTGAAAATGTCTTCGTTTGTTTCTCAGTCCGTTTGGTGGATAGAATCTGGAGACAGATCTTTTGGGTCTCCATCAAGTTGAAGTCCAAGACCTAAAGAGTAGAGGGTGGACCTTTCAGAGCAAACAATGTCCCATCAGCCATTGCCACTGGTTCCCACCAAGTGAATCGAGGTCTAGAGAGGCTTCCTGGAGTTCAGGGCAGCCACTCCCAGTCCCACAGCCTCACTGTGCTCTCCAGATGGAGTTTTTCTGGGTGTTTCATGCTCAGATCTTTCAAGATGGGTCCTCTTTGGGATCTGTGTGGGGTACAGGGGAGGAAGAGGAAATAATCTAGGCTTTGGAGTTGGGGAAGAGCAGGATTTTACATTGTCATCTCTTGTGAGTTGAAAGTAGATGTCATCAGATGCTCAGCCACTATATGGTGAGGCTGAGAGATGTCATCCATTTTGGGGAGCCAAATGCTGTGTGTGTAAGTAAGGTTGTCCACTGAATAGTTAGCTGTATCTCTGATTGAGGTTTGGTTTTGGCTCTAAGTCTTCAAATGGCTTCTACAACCTGCCAGGGAGAAGAAGTACACTTGGAGGAGCAGGAGGTTTCTTCAGGAGTGGAAATTGACTCTGAAGTAAAAAATCAAAATGATTCCTTCTGGGCTGGGATTGTAGCTCAGTTGTAGAGCGCTTGCTCACACACGTGAGGCCCTGGGTTCGGTCCTCAGCACCACATAAAAATAAATAAATAAAGATATTGTGTCTATCTGCAACTTAAAAATATATATATATATTTCTTCCTTGGAAGTATTTTTTCTTTGTTTTGTGGTACTGGGGATTGAATCTAGGGGCACTTTACTACCAAGCTACGTTCCCAGTTCTTTTTTTTTAAGTTGCTAGGTCTGACCTCAAAATTTTGATCCTCCTGCCTTAGCCTTCCTGAGTTGCTGGGATTACAGGCGTGCACCACTATACCTGGCTAAAGTACTTAAACTTTTAAAGTAGATAAACAAGTTACTTGTAAGCTCATTGGCTAACTAAGCTAGTACACTGTGATATAACTGCTAATAATGGAGTTTTCTTGGCCTCTGTTTGCCCCCTGTACTCTCTGACTCGTGGGCCTCAGCAAGGTAGGGGTTCCCCATTTGCACAGGAGTGAGTGGCACTACTTCCTGTGGTGCCTACATGTTCTGCTGCTAAGTTATCACAGGCTTCACTTTCTCTCTGAATGATAATGCTCTGGACCTCTCTGTCCTCCTTTTCCTTTTCCTTTTCCTTCTAAGGCTAGATTTATAAAGTGGGATTACTTCCTGATATGCATTTCTAAATTGCTTTTCCAGCATGGCCTCATTTCAGGCCATTAGTGCTACATGAGAACAATTGTATCCCCCTGCAACCCCAGTGGTCCCAGAAGAATGGTACAAAGGATGCTCAATCCCATTTCTTTATTAAGGACTACTGAAAATGTTTTTGTATCACCTCGTTCTTTTGGGGAACTTCCAATTTGGGTACTTTGTTCACTTTTCTGCTGAGACTGGTGGCCTCTAGAGGCGCTTGGTGTTGGCTCTGTGGAGCACAGGTGTTGTCCCTTCCAAAGCCTGTTATCCTGGTGGTTTTGTGGTTAGAGTTGTTTTTGTTCTCATGTAGTCCAGCCTGTGGTTTTGTGTTTGGTGACTCCTTTTACTTTGGTCTTGGAAGGCAACTCCTCCCGCATAGCTTGAAGAATTTCCCTCATCATCTTCTGGTACTCCCCTTGTCTGGTTTAATCTTTCAGACTTACTTTCTCATGCACTGTGAGAGCCAAGGACAAGATGGCACCATGAGGCCTCCTTTTCCCTTGCTTATGTATCAGGCCTTTTATAGGGGATTCTTTGCCTCTTCTCTCACCGTAGGTTTCTGTGTGTGTGTGTGTGTGTGTGTGTGTGTGTACATGCATGTGCACGCACACATGCACAGGTGCACTAAGGATTGAACCCAGGACCACCTCCATTTTCTTGTGTTGCCTCTGGTTCTCAAAGCCTACAGAATGCCTTTGGCCAAGACTTGGCCTAGACAGGCCAGAATTGATCAGGCTGTGGGGATAGTAGAGTTTGATGGGAGAATTGGGTTTTTCCATTTCAGTTCTCCTTCTTACAAGTGCTCTGGCCCCTTGGTAAGTTGCCCAGGTACTTACATGGTTGTCTTAGGCCTTTTTCAAATATAAAAACAGTATTCTACAGGAGAACCTCAGATTAGGGATTTCAGTGGAATCAGCTAGATATAGGGCTGAGGGAATAGTTCAATGGTTGATCACTTGCCTGGCATGCACAGGCCCTGGGTTCCATCCCCATCACTGCATGGGGGTGGGGGTGGGAGTGGTATGATATATAAATCAGTAGCTATTAGCTTTAACAAGTGAGGTAACCTATAGACATTAAGATGACCTCTTGGGCTGGGGTTATAACTTAGCGGTAGAGCACTTGCCTAGCATGTGTGAGGCACTGGGTTCAATTCTTAGCACTGCGTATAAATAAGTGATATAAAGGTTCATTGACAACTAAAAAAAATATTTTTTTAAAATGATCTCTTATGCTTTTAGGAGGCAAAGTGAAGTGTTGTACTTGCTGCTGCTGATGGGTATTATAACAAAGCCTGTACTTGAAACTTTGTTTTCCAGATTTGCCACATTTAAATGGATGTATTATATTAGTGTGATAGGGATTCCAGAAAAGATGTCCCCCCTCCAGGTGCTGGGGTCAGACCCAGGGCTGGTGCCTGCTGAGTTTATTATACTCTGCCCTATCCCAGAAAAGACATTCTTTTTTTTTTTTTTTTTTAAGAAGTGTTAAATATTCTTTATTTAATATAATACATGAACCACACTAAAAGGCCTTTCCATAAAGAAAAAAACAGCATTTTAGATACCTGGGATTCTAATTAAATTGGCATGATCAACAGAAATATAAAGTAGACACTGCTACCTTATTTTTAGCCATTGCCTTTAATAAGCTAATGAACACAAATTGAAACACATGTGAATCATGCTTGGTTCTGAGAGAGTGAAGGGAGAGTTCCCCTATATTTAAGCATATTCACATAATCACTTATATAAATCCAAATATAAAACCAGTTTCTAGATGGCATTCACCATTTTTGCATAATACTGAATATTACTTATTAAGTCCAGGCATAACTTTAAAAAGGGGAAAACAGTGATACAATTTACTGAAGTGGGATTATAGCCAAAATATTAATTTAACTACAAGTTATTTTTACTTAAATCAAGAAAAATTATTTTGTCAGTCATTCCTGATAAGAATCTGGTGTGTCACATCAATTAAATTATGGTGCACATAAAAAAGCCACAAGACATTTATTTTTGGTAATAAATAAGGCAGTGGCTATTATTCATTAGTACCTTTTTTGAGATAAGCTATTAAGCCTACCCTTTTTCCCTTCTTAATGCCAGGGAAGATCATTTTTGTTTCAGGGATGTATTTTGGGGGATTCTCCAAATACTCCATCAGTGTATTCTCTCCCCAGGTGCTACCTTTGTTCTTGTTGGCATCTGTGTGAGAGAATCCAGCAGCCTGACCTGTCTTCTGCCCAAACAGTCCTTGGAGATTTGGCCCAGTCGTGTGCTTGCCTCCCTTTTCCGTGATGTGGCACGGGGGGCATACTTGTGAACAAAACTCTTTGCCTTTCTCAGCATCACTCTTTTTAAAATTTTCAGTTGTACATGGGCACAATACCTTTATTTATTTTTATGTGGTGTTCAGGATCAAACTCAGGGCTTCGTGTGCTAGACACAGGCTCTACCACTGAGCTAAATAGCCTGAGCCCCAACATCACTCATTTTTAATTCATTCTTTCATTGCTACCACAAAGTAGGTTCCCACTCAGAAGCCAGATGTCCCACTCTCTAGTCCAAGGACACACCATGTCTGTGCTTATGTCAAAACATTCTTAAACCAGGTCCAAGTTGGGTCTTTCAAGAATTTGTGATCTTAACGCACTCTAGATTGTACACCCTGAACTGGGAAGTCCTGGCATGGGAAGTAGCTTAATTATCACAATCTCGTCCTGAATGATTATTTATCTCTTCTCTCACCATAGGTTTGTGTTGAGGGGTGGGTGCACATGTGCACTAGGGATTGAACCCAGGGCCTCCTGCATTTGCATTTGCTATGTGTTGCCTTTGGGTTCAGGGTACCATCCCCTCTACCTGTTCTCTGCTGCATAGATACCCCAGCCAAGAAGTGACTATGGGACTTTGGTCCAGACACAGGTGAAATGTCCCATGTGTTGCATTAGGAGTTGTTTCCTGTATCTGAAGCCTGGCTGGATCTGCAGGTGACAGTCTTGGTAGTGCAGAATCCCAGAGGTCCTGTGGGGTTTTCTGAAAGAAGGAGTCTGGGGAGTTTCTGTGAGTGTCTTATTCTTGTTTTCTTCTTCTTTTTTATAGGCACCAATTTGTAGAAAATAATCTAATACTAAAAATGGGTCCAGTGGATAAGCGAAAGGTGAGTCAGACTCCTGCTGATTTTTGTCTTCATAGGTGACTTCCTTCCGCTGCTAGCTTGGCTTAGCTCTCCTTTCTTGGGCTCTTGCCATGATGTGTTGACATAGTGTTCTTCATCTTGGCACTCTATAAAGAAATCTCTAGATTTAATAGCCCAGGAAGATTTAAGCCCTCAGGGAAACAGTTGGAACCCCATTGAGTTCCAAAAAGTTGGAACTCCCACAGGGAGTCAGCAAGGGGCAGGTGGAAAGCCAGCTTCAGCTCTGGCTCTGGAACCTGGCTTCCCATTTCAAGGTGTCTGTCCTGTGGAGTCCATGTCTAGTACCCTAGCAGGTGGTCTAATATTTTGTTAGTATTATGTTATGTTTTATGGATTAAGCAGATTGTGCCAGAAAATACCAGACTCTTCAACCATTCTAAGCATGACTCTCAACTGCCCTTCCTACCTGTGCAGCTTCCACCCAGTGAAATTCTCCATGCAGGTGGGCTGTGTTTGACCTGGCCTGCCCAGAGTGGGCTTCTGTGACTTAGACAAGCCAGGGGACAGTGGGACGGTGGTCAATGGCCCATCTGTGTGAGCTCAGCAGCAGGGTCTAGGTGGGGTACAAGGTGTCCTAGCTCAGTGGAGAGGTAGCTGGCATGATCCCTGTGCGCTGAGCTACTCTAGGTGAGTTCCCTCTGAGGTAGCAGTGCATGTTGTCCACACTCACCTGTGAATCTTGATGATAGGGTTGTTTGTTTGTTTGTATCAGGGTTTATTTGCACGACGACGACAGCTGCTGCTTACAGAAGGGCCACATCTATATTATGTTGATCCTGTCAACAAAGTTCTAAAAGGTGAAATTCCATGGTCACAAGAACTCCGACCAGAAGCCAAGAATTTTAAAACTTTCTTTGTTCACACGGTGAGTCTGTTTCTGAGAACTCTTATTGGCAGTATTGTCATAGACCTCAGTGCTTCCGCTGACAGCATCCCTCGCTTTGGTCAAGGGAGCAGCTGGGACCATGGCACTTTCCCATCTCCCTGAGAATCTGCATTAGCTGCTCAGCCCTGAATTGGGCTGGGAGACACCCAGGGCTTTTTTTTCAACTTGGGGTGGTCACTTGCCTGCATATTTAATTTCTGCATGTGTGGAAAGAAGAAGCCCCCTGTGCTCACAGGCTTCTCCAAGGCACTTGTAGCACTAGCAACAGGACACAGGACGGGATGGAGGGTGGGTGGGACTCCCTGGAGAACATCAGGTACTCTGTCTTTGCAGCCTAACAGGACATATTACCTGATGGATCCAAGTGGGAATGCTCACAAGTGGTGCAGAAAGATCCAGGAGGTTTGGAGGCAGCGATACCAGAGCCACCCAGATGCTGCTGTGCAGTGACGTAGCCTGCGGCCGAGCTGCCCTTCGCTGCCAGGATACCTGCCCCAGCGCGGCTCGGCCGCCACCCGGGACACTTCCAGACCACCTGCCAGCCATCTCAAGGAGAATGCGGACAGCGGAAACCTTCCAGCTTTTTTATTTAAAAGAAAAGAAAAAAAATACCCAACCACACAAAGAACAAAACCAGTAAAAAACAGGAATTCAGGGTCGCTTTGCTTGCTCTCTGTGCTTTGTGGAGGCTTCCATGTGCTCTTGGGGCCGTGAAGACCCAGCCCCTTGCACGGCAGCCCAGCTCCTGCCCAGACCAGTGGCTAGACTTGGTGTCACCAGCCCCTCCTAGCATCCATCAAAACCATGTGCCTGCCACGCACCACTCCTACTGTGGCCCAGGGACTGGCTCTTTCTGCCCACCCCCACTGTCACGGAGCCCTTCACCAGGGAACCTCTGTGCACCGTACTGTGTGTACTACAGACAGGGTTCTTAGCTTTGTGAGTGTGCTCCCTACCTTATGTTCCTCATGCATGGCCCTGGAGGTGTGGCCTGGCCCTTTGTGTCTCCTGTTGTGGCTCTGGTGACAGGATTTCTGTGGTTCCTGCTGTCTGGCAGGCAGATTGAGAAGTGAAGAGTAGGCAAGACTGTGGAGATGACATGCAGAGCAGGCTGCTGCAGTTACAAGGAGCCCTCCTGGGTCTCAGCTCCCATGTCCCACCTCCTAGCAGTGTCCTTCAGTGGGGCTGGATGCCAAGCCAAGCACGTGCTTGGGAGGGGCACTGTCAGATAGAAACCAGGTTAGCACCCAGCTGAGTTTTTGCCAGATACACAGAACCCTGTCCTGTACTTGGCAAGGCCAGGAGGTACCACAGAATCCTCAGGCCTTCCTGAGAATCTGGAAAGTTTTAAATGTACAGGCTGCCTGTACAGGCTACTAGTAAGGTCAGGCTTGAGAGAATCCTAGTGTCAGCAGTCCCAGGGTGCTTCAGTCTCCTGCCCAGCCTTATGTGCCCCTGTTCATGTTGTGGCTAAACACTTCTCAAAGATAGCTCAGTTTTTACATTTCTGTGTTGGAAATCTAAAAGCCTTCTTCCCGCACTGCCTGGTCACTTGGCCAATGAGGGTGGAGTTTGTTTAGAAAAAAGTGTTATTTACTGTTGCCCGGGACATTAGAATAGCCCACTGAAGCCTGAGTCTGTTTGATCTGGTGTCTTCTGCCAGTTTTAGTGCGACTTTCCTTTTTCGCTTCCATAGCAGTGCTTTGCTTTTTAGAGACTAGAATGTACCAGTCCCTTGCTTTGCTTTGCTGCTTCCAGGCAGAGTGCTCCAAAAGGTCTCAAATGTGCCTGTCCTTGCCTTGATTGTCCCTGAAGGGTGGCTTTCAGTCCCTGGGGAAGAAGAGCAGGCACCTGCCTTTGCAGTCTGCTCACAGACACCATCTGACTCCCATGTACCCAAGGCAGGAACAACTTTGCCATTTCTGTAGACCTTCATAAAGGCACCAGCAAAAGGCCCACAGAAAATGTACTCCTTACACCTATCACCTGGTGTGCCAGACCAGTCCAAACTGAGAAGAAAGATTTCTTTCCCAAACTGTTTTAATGATAAGAGTGGTTCTTTTTAAACTGAGAGGAAGTGCAGATGTGGGGCTGCACTAGTGCTAGACTGGAACAGAGGTATTCCCCAGGCTTTGACAGTCATTTCTGTGAGAGCTGTGTGTGAGCAAGCATGTGTCAGGTTCCCACCTGTCCTTGGGGATCCTCAGAGAGCGGGGAACAGACCAGGTCTCCTCTCAGCCTTTAGAAGGCTTGCTTGTGTTAGGTGAGTCTCACTTGGCTGTTTTTTTTCTTGAAATCCTGTGCAGACTCACTCCCCTTGTTGCTATTTTGACCTCTTCAGAATGTCCTGTGTCTGCAGGGGTAGCTCCCTGACTCTCCTGCCTGTGCACACACATGCAGAGAAGGGGTCTCTTGGGGCAATCTGGTACAGTGGAACAAGTAGGGCTAAGACTCGGCTGAATAAGAGAACCTGGCCAATTAGAATAAAGAACTAGAATAGAAGTCTTCTTTTATCTGCGCCCTCTGGAGAGCACCGCTACCTCCTGGGCTTCACCAATAAACACCATCCCAACCTCCTCCACCACATGGCTGAGGGCCAAGACAAATGCCACACCGTTCCCTGTTCCCCTTGGTCCTTACTTGCTGTCCCTTTTTTTCCTTGCTGCTTTTTTGTTAAGGGCCGTGCACATTCTTCTTTAGCCCTGACTTATGTTAGTCTAGCTTTTCCAGTCACTCTCAAGCTGTCACCTAGCATGCAGATACTGTGGGTTTCAGGGAACATGTAGACATGCGTTTGTGGAGACACAAGTTGGGTCTAGCCCAGGTGAGAAAGTAGTGCCCTCCTGTATAATAGATCCAGGAGCCATGGGTCCCACTAAGGACCAGTAAGGACAAATGTAAATGCCTTTCTATGGCTTCTCCCAGCCCAGAGGGTAGCAGACTGGTGGCCATGGCTCAGACAGCCCACTGTGCCCTGCCTTCCCTGGGGATGCAGAGGGAGCTAGGTATAGATGGTTTGTTTGCACCCTTTTTCCTCTGGTGCCAGCCAGGGCAGCAGGCATCCCTGTGTGGAGCTTAAGCCTCTATACCCTAGGGATTGGCACTGTGGTGTATCTACCATTCTCAACCTTAACTTCCTAGAGGCTTGTTAGAAATTTGCTTTAAGAAAGTTGGCTTATGTTGTCAGTCCAAAGCAAACAGGGACTTCACCTGCTCCAGTGCTCTCAGTCTGCTCTGGTATTTGTGGTCCATGCTGGAAGGACTCAGCCCCGTGGTATACATCCACACACACCAGCCAGAGAGCTCCAGGTGATTCTGTGCTTTCTTAAAAGTAGTAGTTTCTTTCTGAAAAAAATCAACTAGGCTCTCCACCCAGAGTCCACTGTGAGCATTTTGATCTAGATTCTGTCCCCTCTTCCATTGATTTGCTTTTCAAACTAAATTGGGAACATACAGTGTACATTATTTTGTATCCATCTTTTTCATTTGATATTTTATCTGAAGTACTTTCCCATGTCATGAGCAGTTCTTCAAAAGCATGTTTTAATGATTGTAGAGTCTAATGGTCATAAATTTTTATGATAGTTTTATCTATTTCCCTATTGTAAAAGACTTAGGTGGTTTCTGGTTTTTCACTGTTTAAATAATGCTGTGATGAATGTCCTTATAAATCTTTCTATATTTGACTCTGATCTTTTCCCCTTAGATATCAGCAAATGGTATTTTAGGGTTAAAGAGTTTGTTCATTTCACTCAGATATTCCTCCCTCTTGGTCTTGTTGCTCAGATGCTCAGAGTTTCAGTAACAGCCTCCTTCCTGGTGTCCTACAGATTTTGAGCAAATCAGTTTTTGCTAAGCTGTGTGTTCCAAAGAATGATGAATATGACTGCTCTCTTTTCTTTTGTTAATGCTAAAATGATGTCATTCCTGCAGATCCATTTGTGACAGATTTTTCCAGGAGCTAATTTCCTTATTTTCGTTGCAATAATCTGGTCATGCTTGCATGTTAGTTCTCTTCCATTTCTGCTGCTATGGCTTCCAAGTTCTTGGTGATGTTTTAAGAAATCTTTTACTTTGTGTCCACAATGGTACTGAATCTGCTTCTGCACAGTCAGCAGAGATAAAAAAAAAAAAGTTGAACTGACCTTGCCACGTGCTTAGTGGGTGATTTGTACTTAAGTTTATAGATTACACCATTTGGGATCACTAGCAGAGCAAGGCTCTTTTGTAAAAGAAACCGTATAGACGATTGTGTTTTACAAGAGTGCATTTGTGTGTCCCTCCACCCCTCAACAGAAGTTCTTAGCAATTCAGGACAACACAATGTCTAGGCCTTTCATTGTGGAATGTGGATCTGAGGTGGCATGAGTGTGAGGTGTTCTCCCTGCCCACAGTGCTGCAGGTTGCCCAGTGGTCTTCAAGTCCAGACCATCCAAATTTGTTTGTGTTTTTATTTCTCCACATTTACTGAGTTCCATTGATTCTGAGGAGAAACATGTACAAGAGGGTTTTCTGACCATCATGCTCAGTGCCACTTGACTACCAGAGCTCAGGGCTGAATTGTGCAGAATTGGGTCTCCTGCCCACCTCTGGTGCACCACAGTTCTTCCTCTGGCTGGGTTACAGACCCAGGGTGCTCACTGCTGTGACTTGAGAGGCCACTTCTGTGAGAATATGGTGAAGGTACTGTGTCCTGACAGATGTTTTTTTTTTTTTGCTTTTTTTCCATTTTGTTTCACTGAAAACCCAGCATGAACTGATGGTGACTCAAGTGGGTGTGACTCTTTGTTCTTGGGCAGAGTGTATGGCAAGAACCCCTGAATCAGGGCTGTAGCCACTTTCAGAGCCTCTGAGAGGCATTGGCTTCTAGCCCAAAACTTCAAGGTTGTAAATTAGCCTGTCTGTGGAGAACTGTTCTGGGAAGGAAACTGTTTTCCAGCAAAGAGCATTTTTATTTGTTGCAGAGATGGCCATGGCAGGTAAATGAATGAGCCAGTGTGAATACCTGAATTTTCCCTGTAATTCTTTTCTTCAATGTGAAGAAACACCAAACTGTATAGAGAACTTTTTACAAAAGGAAGAAAAAAAAATTTTTTTTTTTTTAAAACCCTTGTAGCCCACTATAGTCTAACATCTGGCTGAAAGCTCTCTTTTGACCATAGTTTGATTGGATGTTGACAAATTTAACTGCTGCAGTGTTTGGAGCTGCTGCAGCAGTTCCAACCACATACCATAGGTTGAATGGATAGTATGTTGCTGTCCTTCAGGTTGGTGGCAGTCAGTTGCACCGTGTGTAATGTCCTCTACCTGGTCTGCAGCAGTAACTGTGATGTACAGGCAAAGCAAAAATTTAAAAAAAAAAAAAAAAAAAAAAAACTTATGGAAACAAATAATGCAATGATACTAGGATATACACTTTTGTATTTTTATTCTTATATAAGGTTATTTGCTGGCTATTGTCGGCCTCTAGTTCATTCTGTGTTATTTAAATTCTAATATATGAATTATTTGGATTGAATTCATGTTCGGGGCCACGTTGTTGTATGTATTGATGTACAGCCTTGAATGTGAATAATTATTGTAAACTATTATATTTTACAACTTTTTTTCTGGCTTTATTATATAAATTTTCTATTTGGTCATGGTTTAATCATATCATAATTTAATGAATCTGTTTATTCTTTTTTCAAATATCTGTGCTTTAGATATAGTTCCGGATGATGAATTTCCCTCGTATGCTCCGTAGTCTTGAAATAAAAGCATGTAGAGTGCACCCTTTTGCGAGCCTGATTCTTCCTTTGATCGGGGCGGGACCTGGGATCCCCGCGTGAAACCAGGGCCTGCACCTGCCGGAAGGGAGCTCGGCCGGCAGCCTTTTCGGACCGGAACTTCCGCCTCCCGCATGACTCCGGGGCGGGCGCTTTACTAGGGCGGACCTGTGGGCGGGACAGAGCGAAGAGAACACTATTAAAGGCCGGACACTTCCGGCGGAGGGGCGCTGTGGCGGGGCTTGCTGAGATCATGGCGGAGAATCTCTTCGAGCTGCTGCCGCCGGCCCCAGGCGGCCTCGGGGCGGGACTGGGGGGCGGCCTATGCCGCCGCTGCAGCGCAGGGCTCGGTGCCCTGGCTCAGCGCCCCGGCGGCGTGTCCAAGTGGGTCCGACTCAACGTCGGCGGCACCTACTTCCTCACCACCCGGCAGACGCTGTGCCGGGACCCGAAGTCCTTCCTGTACCGCTTGTGCCAGGCAGACCCCGACCTGGACTCTGACAAGGTGAGGGCCGCGCAGGCCAGCCGGGGGCCCGGCCCCGCGCCTGGGTCAGAGGACCCGCTGCCTCAGGGACCCCCGTCGCTGCGCCGCGGGCGCCCCTCGCCCTCGCGCTCCCGCCTTCGGTGGCGGAGGAGGTTCCCCAGACCCCTGACTTGGCTGCAGACCTACTTTTTCTCCGTAGACTCTTTCCCTGGGTGTGTGAACACTTCTCCGCCCCAGCGTACTTGCTGGCTCTGGAAATGGAGAACTCTTTGAGTTCATCTCGTGTTTTCAGACGTTTGAATTAACGTAGGCATGGAGGTTGACACGGTGGCCTTCTTTCCCCGGTGACTTGCATTTACAGAGTTGACGCTCCATCCTTTTCATCCGCGACACGCACCGGCTCCGCAGCTCTTAGAAGGTGCCACCCATAGTAAGACTTTTCACAGGGAGTGTTGCTCACATTAGTGGGTGGCTTAGGGGTTCAAGGAGAGGCTTTTCTATTCTGATTTCCTATTTCTCTTCTGATCTGCTTTTCTGTTAAACTTAGTTTCCCCACCATCCTTGCAAAAGGATAGGAATTTCCAGGTTAGTTTTACAGTTTGTCTTTGATCAAAGTAAACATTTATACTGTTCGGGTGGTAATAGGAGCTATTTTGATTATTACCTTTACAAGAGTTATATGAGGGAGTGCATCACCGGACAGGAGAGAAAGGAAAAAAAAAAAAGTCTAATTGAAGAAGAGTTGCCTTGATTTTTTTCTAGGCAACTCCTAAACCTTATGCTAACTTTGCTGGGTCTTCCAGTTGACTTGATTGCACTTGGCTATATGTTTTATCAGCCTGACATTGCCTTGCTGGAGAATCTCTGGAAGGATTATATATTCCCTAGAATCCAGAAAGGTTCTTTACTTTGAGAACCCTGACAGACACCAGTCTCAGCATGGCCTGACCTTATGACCAGAAAATGAAAATTTTTGAGTTATAGCAAAATCATCCATCCTAAGCAGAAATCAGAGTTTTCCATCCGTGCCAGTGTGCCCTCCCTAGCCCCAGCCAGCCGTTCCTGCTGCTCATTTGACCAAGCTCTCTACTCTTAGATTGACCTCGAAGAAAATGACTGTCATCTCCAGTATGGAAATAGGTCTTTGTCAGCTGTCATTTTCCCTTTATGGTGTGGGTGTATGTTTTACTGTTGGTTTTTCTTTTTAAACAGTGGGTCATAGTGACTATTCACTTGCCTTTCTACCCAAGAATCCCTGCTTTATATATTAAATCTGATTTTAATGTTCTTTTCTATTGGGTTCTTTCCAGTGACTGCTTTTTCAGCACCCGAACAGTAGATTCAGAACCGATTGACTTTAATGCAGTTAAATTGATTCAGCCCTTGATTTTACTTCTTTTAAGACCATTTTAAAAATTATGCCATACTGTAATAAGGATTCTTGGTAGGGGATAATCTATTAAGTCTATCGTAATTGTTTTTCTTTTTAATCATCACTTAATTAGGCTTGATTTCTAAATTACAAAGCCAAGATTCCAAGCATGACTGTAATATGGCAGATACAATCCCTGTCTCATAATATAGTTGATAGTAAATAAGATTTAGTTTTAGTCACAGATAAGTTGCTAGAAAGAATAATGTTAATTCACATTAGTCATATTACTAGAGTGTTCTACTTCAAATAAGAAAGTGTATAAAATGCTCTATCTTCTCATTCCCTCATCCCCCCAGGTTCTGATGAAAGAATGTCCCAGGAGATTCCACCATGATAATTAAATCCTGAGTGAGGAGTCTTAAGGATGGGGTGGAGGGGAAAGGGGTGCTAGCAGTGGGAGGCCACTAATTACATGGTGGAAAATAAACAGGATGTTGATTCATGTGTAGGTATCTCCAAGTCCTGACTCCATAGTTCATCAAGATTAAGGAAAGGATACCTGACAGATACCTCTGGAATTGAACTTCAGTAAGGACCTGGTGTAAGATCCCTGCCTGGCACTTTACTAGTGTTTATTGAGCACTGGGCTTGCAGAATATGACACTGGGATGAGAGTTGGGTGAGGAGATTTTAGAGAAAGAGGCTCCCAAGAAATCTTTTGGGAAACTGCTGGGTTTCAAGTTCACAGGAGAGTGTGGTGGCAGCTGTCAGTGAGGTGCTATGGGAATGGTTACTGCAGGTCTTCTGGAGGATGCTTTCTAAAGACATGGGCAGGTTGTTGGGGAGGGTGGGGAACACAGGCATGTCCAGGGGCTGGCTGACTGCTTCGCAGCCCCATATCTAAGCCTCTAGGCTGTGACTGCCCCTCACCCCCAATACTCCAGGCACAGCTTAGGACCCACTGCCTTTCATGCCTTGTGTCCCGGGCCCTAACCCTCTTGTCTCAGGGGCCATCTTGGGGCCCACTGCTGCTATGAGGTTCTGTTTCTAGACAGCCTGATGAATTCTCACTTCCTCCTGGGACTTCCTCCAGTGGGACTGTGGCTGTGTTGTGCATTTCAGCATCTGCTCATCAGCTCTCCTGTGTCACTTTTCTTTCCCATGTTGTCCTTAAGGCAGACCAGACTTGGTGCTCCTTTCTGAGCTGCCCATCAGAAAACCTGTGTAAAAGCTTAGTATTTGATTCACTTTGGCCACGTCTCAGTGGTGATCCGTAGTATTGTTGTATTCCAGAGGTATTGTTGGAAACACAGTAGAGTTTATTGTTGTGTCTGAACCAGTCCTGCTTTATTGTGGATATACTTTAGGAAGTAAAGGGAAATAGGAAATACTATTTGGTTGGAAGCCACCTGGATGGATGAGGATCAAGGAGGGTTCTGTCTCTGCAGCTGAGCCAGACCTGGAGAAAACTGCTGGTTGCAAAGGAGCGTCTCCCCTTACAAGAGAGCCACTTTTTCCACTTTGGGCTTATAGATATGGTGGCATCAGATGGGTCTTTGGGGGCAATCACAGCACTTCTTATGTCCACCCTGGTTGCACTTGGTGCTGGCAAGTTTTAGGGTTGAAAAGATATGAAAGGAATTTTACAGTCGGCCAGGGAATGGGATGTGGGTGGGAGAACCATCTTTGAATCAGCTGCTTGGCAAGAGAAGTGGGGATTACTTAGAGTAGAAATGGCAGATTATGTTCCATGTAACTAAATCAGAAGTGAGAAACTAACTGGCAGAATCCCCACAAGCATCTCGTGCACTAGGCAGAGTTGCGTTGGCTGTAGAGGCCATGAGTGGGTGTCTGAGGCATGCATGTCTCACTTTGCACTCAAGTTGAGGATGTGGCTCTGAGGGTGTCCTTGACCCTTGACCATAAATTAGGTGCTAAGGCTGCCCTACCCCTCTTCAGTGGGTACTTGTCTTCTCTGAGTTTGTGGTCACCTCTGAAAGGTGCCTCATGTGAAAACCCCTCAACCCTGAGCAGGCCACAATTGGTGCCCAGGAGGTCTTGCCATTTCATAAGTTGGGCCTTTCCAAGGAGAGCATATCCCAGTGTGCCTGACCCAGTCCTCAGGTGCACACTGGCTCTGATCAGACCGTACTTGAGCAACTTCTCCCTTCACTCATAGAAAATTCCAGGCTGGTACAAATTAGAATAAATAAATAAAATTAAAATTTTAAAAAAAGAAAGAAAGAATATTTCAGGCTGGTGTAGGCATGATGGTCATTTCCTTAGTGTAAAGAGACTCCTGTCTCTGAGAGCCTGGTTTGACCCTGTTGTGTGACTCGGGATGCAACTCTCTGACCCTTATGTTTGTCCTCTGTGAAGTGGAGGTGATGCCTCTGCAGGGGGTAGCTATGAAGATTCAGGATGAGGAGAGAGCTGCCCTACCTGGCACCAGCCAATGCAGTCAGCAGAAGTTGTTAATGATGTTTTTGTACTTTGGTTTTAGAAAGGATACACTGAGAATGCTCTTTTCCCCTCTCAGAATTTATTCTTGTTCCTGTTTTTCTCACACTCATTATTGTAATCCTCTCTGTGCCAGGGTGGGCAGCTCCCCTTAAGCACCTCCAAGGCTTGTGTGTGGCTGGGGGTCCCCACCTTGCTTGTCTCCCTTGCTTCCCCTTCTGCCCTTTCACACTGCCCAAAGCTCCTGGCTGTTTGCAGGTGAACAGGCCCCTAGAGGGTGGGTCCCCAGCTCTGGATAGCAGAGCCCGTGCTCTGAAGGGCTGGCGGGGCTGTCTGAGCAAGACACCTGATGCCTTACAGCCTGAGATATATAGCTCCAGGGCTCTGGTACGTAGACTTTTGAGTGCAGGGTGTTCCCCCAGCATCTTCAGTTGTCCACCTTGGTTCTGGGTCTCCACACTCTTTGGCCTGGTTTTTGAAAATCAGGCTTGGGTGGCCTGTTTCTTGCTGCCAGTAGGCTGAGATAGGTTTTCTAAAACAAATAAGGAGAGGCAGGATCCTCTGGGTGCAGGAAGTACCCAGTAAGGAGGAGGAGCCGAGGGCCTGCCCTTTGGCCCCAGTGAGGAAGAAAAAACTGTCCTCAGTCTGCCTGCATGGCCACAAGTGAGGAGAGCAGAGGCCACCTT